TTCTAGGTCAATATATAAACATTAAAATGTTGCAAATTCAGTCATTATAGCTTAAGCAACCAGGAGGTAAAAGAATCCAGCCCTGATGGTGGAGTAGGAAAAGAGTGACATGTGAACATTTAAATTGTCAAGTTTGATAATATTTCAAACCGTCATGAAAGTCCATACTTAGATGAATTCCAATGCATAAACTTGTAGAATGTAGCAAATCCTGTCAAAAGCCAGTGCAACCAATTGAAAATGGCAGTTTATATAAATTTTGTATCAAAAGTTAAATATTAAATAGTTTGGAGAAGACAAGGGAAACACAACTTAGGTATAAATGCCTTTGTATATCCAATATCTTGCAGTTTGATACTATCACTTGTTAGTGTTAAATTGATTTCCATTTTCAATAAGCTCAGGCTCACAGGAGAATGACTCAGGCATGTGCAGGTTGGCATTCAAACTTTTCCCAAGCTCTGATTGTTTGTAGGTACCTTAAAAGTTCCTACTGGAGGTACACAGCAAAGTCCAACTTTGTACTATGCAAGGTTTTTAAACCATGCTATTTGATGATTTTCTGCACATATATTAGATGAAATGTTAAAAAATATGAAAGAAAATTCAGAGGTTCAATTCAAATCAGTGCAGGATGTTGTATACGATATTGAGCTATGCAACTACCATGTCTGTTAGTGTGATATCTTAGTTGCTGGCATTTTTCAGGAACAAGTTCCTGCTTCAATTTAGAAATGAGTGTAATGTGAAATAAATGAAAACAGAGTACGCTTACTTATTTGATTATTTATTCAATTTTCAAAGCAACCATGAAAAGAAAAGTATTTTTAAACTTTTGTATACCAAAGATGCAAAGTGCATAGCAGACTATAACTATCTTGATGAGCTATCTGTTCTGAATACACAAAGTTGCATAGTTTAAGGTCAGAAATAGTTACAAGCAACACACACTGTGTGTTAAACTGAACCATTCCCAACCCCCCTCAAAAAAAAAGGGTACCTGCATGTACATGTATTTAATTGACATAACCCTTTCTAGTCTCAATCTACAGCACAGCTCAGTCTTTGTCCAACTGTTCATTCCAAAAGTGAGAAATCTGCTGCACAAGTTAATCCAACAGTACTCTTTACTTAACAAAAAAGTCAATCAGGTTCTCCCTGCCCTCTCTAGATTCCCATCCTCCAACATGTAGGCTGGTTTATACTTGTTACCACCATCACTACATTTCAAGGCAGGGTTAGGTTTAGTATTGTGGGTGCTTCCTAGTGATGTGTACCCTTCATCATATAGACTGCAGTATGGAATATTACATTCCTGGATCACTGCCCAGACATCTGCATGATGCCAATCAAGAATTGGATTAACCCTCATGTAATGTGGCCAGTCTGGGTCAGTTGGAGAAAATGTGCGCAGTATATCAGAAAATGGGTCATGCCTTCTGGTGCCCAAAAACATTGCCTTGACTTTTGGGTGAGTTTCTTTCAATGTCCTCAGACCAGTTTTAATGTCTCCTGTTAATGTTACGAGATTCAAATTGTACCTTTTGGTAGTTTCTGAGATGAACTCTTCTGCTTGTGGAAATGGTGACTCGTAGCGAAAGTATAGGGCCTTTAGCTCTTGGGCAGGTATTGATAATTTATTCAGCACTGCATGCAAAATGTGGAGCAGCACAGTGCAGTCCTTGCCACCATTGAAACTGATGCACAGCTCATCAAGAGAATACAGCTGAAGTGTCTGTTGTATAATAGCCCAGGCACCTTTAAGGCAAGCACTTGTGTTTGATTCATCTTCGGGATCAAGGAGGCTGTACACTTTCTCCACATTCACCACCTGCTTAGCATCTTTTTTCAGAGAGGTAGGGCTGGGTGGACCTAAAATATAGTAATAGGTTATTAAAATATTAGTCATTTTCCAAGTGGAGAGAAGGTTAACCCTTATACTCCTGGGGGTGACTAATGAGCAATTTCTCCTTACAATGTTGGTACATCATCTGTCAGATTGGTGATGAGAAGAAAGTTAAATATCAATAAGATGATACTGTTTGATTACATGACAAATTCTCAGAACTCCAATGATAAGAGCTGTACAAAGACATTGAAGAGAATTGATGTTTAGATCTAACAAAAGAAAGGGTAGAGACTCCTTAATGGAAAAATTGTGAATGACCATTCCATAATTTCTCCCAATAATATTGTCACAATCAGAAACGTGATAAGAAAAAAAGTGAAATATCAAGAAGAGTTTATTGTTTGATTAAACAACAAATTCTCAGAGCTACAATTATATAATATTTATTAATGACAGAGAGGAGAACTTATTTTCAGATCTAGGGAAAGAGAAGGTAGAGACCTCTCAGTGGAGAAATTTCATTTATCAGCATTAATGAAGGAGTGCTTTGTGATTTGACTCCAAATTCTCACAGTTAACATCACTAAAAATGTATCACAGCAAGAAAGGAGAATTCATTTGAGATCTCAACTGTAAAAGGTCTCTTGGATGCAGCTTAACACATCTGCCCCCAGTTGTTTGAAGAATGGATAATGCTATCCAATGGATAATTCTCTACCTGATGGATAGTGCAGCATATTTTGTTAACACTTATTTGTTGGATAGCAATTTATCTGTTAGATCACTTTATCTGCCCTTCGATCAACTGGGCCCACTCTAACAAATGACTACTCACTGGACTTAAGTAGTGACTTCTGCAGAGGTTTTCAAAGCCTTATAGTCACAAACACAGTCAGGAGTCTTACAGGGCTAGTGCACTTCATGATTAACCTCTTATGACAAACTATCTCTGCATCACTGCAACATTCATTGCAAATACAGTTAAAAAAAAAGTTAGAGGCTCATCCCACAATCAAACAAGATGAAGTGAATCTTATTTTCTAACTAGGAGGTAAGATAGATTTCAACTCAATCCGTAAAACATACAAAAAAAGGACTTGCAGTCATGATAACCTCCTGCTTAGTAATCTACATATACTTTTGTGAAACAAAACTTACATTCTGAAGGTGAAGCATCACAGACACGTGCGTCCTCCTCAGTCTTCACCACATAGTCTTTGGGTAACTTTCCCAAGAGACAGTCCCAGGCCTCTTGGAGATCCTTTGAACTATCAGACTCCACAGTCAGTTTTACTTTAAAATTTTGGTCACAGAAATCAGGGTATGACCCTAAGTGTACTATGCCTTTAAATTTCTCACACACCTCATCCAGAATGGAAGCAATTTCTGTCTCATCTACTGAGAGGTAAATCTTTCGCAGCAGAAACCGCTTCTCACGGTTGGAAATTAAAAGAATATCTTCCAAAAGGCCAAACGACTTTTCCAAGAACTTCGGCACTCCAGGAAAAACATACACGTTATGTACAGATATGAGTGGAAAACAGCTCGGTTTTCCCGAGGGATCTTTTCCAAAAGCCAGTTTCACTGACGAAGGAACCCGAGCCATTTTCAAATGGGACGAGTTAATTTCATGCTGATATGAATTCGAAATTAGTTCCACTAATTCATCATTAAGAACTAAATCTTCTCCAAAGGCTTTAGCGATGCCTTGCATTGTAACATCGTCATGAGTGGGGCCAATTCCGCCAGTAGTTATAACGACAGAATATCTAGAGGAGAATTTTCTTACTTCGTGGGCAATTTCGTCCACGTCGTCTGAAATCACAGAAACTTTTCTCACTTTAACTCCTAAGGACCATAATTTCTTAAAGAGATAGTAAGAATTTGTATCTTTGGTATGACCTTTTAAGATCTCGTCTCCTATAATGATAATCCCAGCTGAACACTTGTAATCGTTTCCAACCGCTCCGTCCGCCATCTTAACTTGATTCGGGCAATCAATACTAGATCGATATCAGGTCACGTGACTATAACTCTGGCAACGAAGTCAAACAAAGATGGCGGACTTTTTATACAAGACAGCACAACAAACGCATTCAAGGTTTTGTCAGACGTGATCATTTCTTAAATTTTTAGGCAAATAAGTGGATGAATTCATGCAGGTAAGCTGTAAGTTACTTTTATTTTGTATACAAGTGGAGAGGATTGGCTTCAGATGTAGTCAGAAGTAACTTTTGCAGGCTGTGAGAGTAGGCGCGAATTCCAAATTTCTCACTTATCAAGTAGGCTTTGACCGAAAACTTACTTATGCGCGATAATACTGTTAGAAGATGAAAGTGCACTGATCTTAATGCGAACTGCTGTAGCTCAATACGATTAGCTTAAAGTTGAAAAAAAAAACCTTGCTCATTTCACAGCCAATTGTAATCGATTTCCTGTATATTTTCAAATTTTATTTTTGCAGGTTTTGATCTCTAGCTTATTTTGGCTTGTTTGTTTTTGTCGTCTTTATTTGTAACACATGAAAGAAATGCAATTGTCAAAAGTGTAATTTTGTTTTTTTTGATGTTCGAACCTTTGCTACAAGTCGTTCACCACATGCAGAACTTTTTTTCTTCTGATAACCGAGACGAGTTACGTGATTGATCACGACTTAATTAAGTTATCTTTTCAAGTCAGTTTTAAGTGTAGAACTCTATGTCTAAGTGATTGCCTAAAATGAGAGTGTTGGCGAGAATGGGTAGATCTTTGGGAAATGTAGGGATCATTAATGCTGGGAGTGTGCCAGGTAGAAATGCACACTCTCAAGATCTGATTGTTAATTCTCCCCTCTAGCTGCTACACATTTCCCTGTAAATTAGTTATGAGAACTTGGTGCTAGATAAAGATAGCAGCTTCTACCTGAGAAGTTTGAATATTCTCATTACCTGTTTGCTATCATAATGTATGGATATTTTAGGGAGAAGTTTTATGTTAATCACTTCTGGGAGTTAAAGGGTTAGAAAAATGTTCAGTGAGTTATCTTTATATACTAAATAAATGTCTTTCTTGATTTGGATCACAAGTCATAGATGTATTCCCATTTGTGCCTGAGTTGGTGAATGAACAGTTCAGTTAAATGTGTTTAAATGTACTTTTTATAGAAAGAAATGTAATCAAGTTCCAATCAAGAGAAATAAATAAAGACTGAAACATGGAGTTGGATGAGAGGCTGAGGTGGATAGAGACTAGGGTGACATCATCCCTCAAACCCCGAGCAGAGGAGCTAAAGCACATGTTCACCAATGAAAAGAGCAGGTAATGTTTTTTAGCATTAGCCAAAGATTTTGTTGCTTCTATGATGATATAAGAGTTCCATACAACCTAAATTAAATTTGGCAATCAATCTTTGTGTTGAAAGTAGTTTTGTGGTAGATTCTGATACTTACTCCCTACTCAAGGTTTTATATATATATATATATATCTCAAGATACAGAACATTTAAAGGCTGAGGTTCCAAACTATGATTTTTGTAAGCAGAATAGCTATAAGTTTAGTTCATACTGGGTATGGAAACTGGGTTGATTGCCTTCCAGTGAGATTGTAGACTTTATGTAAGACTTTTAAGAACCAAGCTTCAATCAAGGCATCAAGATGTGAACCTGTTTCAGGATCACCATATGTTTTTGACCACATTACTAGATTGCCTTATTCCATTCAATAAAATGTAAATACCGTGTTTCCTCAAATACGTCCCCACTCCTCGTTAAAAATTTTGGCTAAGGGGAGGTGCACCTATTGGATAGAGAGTGGGGGGTGCTTACTAAGAAGCTATTAACCTGTACTAATTCTGCTGTAATTGAAGCTTTAAAAGATATAAATAAAGTGTTGATGTGAGCAGGAGTTCCTTGTATCTCTAGATGTAGCTATTTCTGAAAGTGAAGAAGGATGGAAAGGGGGCTAATTTGAGAGGGGCGCTTGTTTGAAATTATGGCGCAGGGTGTGGGTGCTTCATTGGGAGAGGGGGCTTAGTAGAGAGTGGGCACTTATTTAAGGAAATGGGTTAAATCACTTATAATCAAAATTCACATTTAGTAATTTTACAAGGACTAAATTTTGAGAGGGTCCTCAACATCCCTTCTTCTCAGAATAGTTGAGCAAATGTTGTGTATGTAGCTCCTTTTGAGCTGTACTGCACTCAAGCAAGAGTATTGCAAGTTTCATTTATTATGATTGATTATTTCTCTTCTTTGTAGAGAGGCTATGTTTGAATTTTGCAACAATGAAGAGATGAAGAAGCTATTTATATACTACTCAACATCTCCTGCTGGCAAAAATCTTGTGGCATCACTCACTCCACCCAGCAGCTCAAAGGAAAAGTCTGTTTACTTTGTCAAGATTCACGAAGCAGGAAAACTCTCCAGAGACAATATAGTGACAGATGTTGCTTTCTGTGATTGTTCTTATCAACCTTTGACCCATGCAAGTACTTTGACAAAGGATGTGTTCTTGCCACTATTAAGTATTGAAATGGGTGGAGGTGTGAGTGCCGACAAACTTATGGACCTAGTCCACAGGCTGGTTTCAGTCCTGCAAGTTTGCGAGGGCAGTTCAAAAGATCAGGTCACTCTACCGCTGCCATCTATTGAGGTGTTGTCAGAGGCAGCAGCATACAGTAGTAGACGGCCTGCTGTCATTCATGTGTTGGAGACAGCTGTGGTTAATTGGATAAAACAGATCAAGGTAAAACAAAATCTTGGGAAACTATGTTAATTAAAGAGTTGTAATGAAATTTCTACAGTGTGTGTTTGGCAGATACATTATCTAGAAGCTTTGGTGCCATTTGAAAATAAATTGTAAGTGGATTCTCTTTTAATTTTTTAAGTTTTTTTTTATAGGTGACTCTGAAGCTGGACCCAGAGATCCAAATAAAAAAGTTTGGTCCAAAACCAGGTCCATTGGATGAAATAGAGGTATTGTTTCCTACTCTAGAGTACAACACTTCAAAGCTAAAACTTGGATTCACATCATTGTGTATAATGGCCTATCAATTGCACAAAGTTAACATAACATGTTCCTTTTTGTGGAAATGCTGTAGCGACTTCAATTTGGGGAAATGAACAGTGCATTACCTGCCTGAAACTTAAAATGAGTCCAGATTTTTTATTTTGGGACACTGAATTTTTTTTCAAGATGAAAAAAAATTCATAATTCCCTCCCACTTTGCAGTTTTGTTCTTCTCTTTTGACATACTGTAGCATGTAGTAGTTCCCATATTGTAATGGAGGCAGTGGAGGGGAACCAGGGAAATCATATGGCAATAAATCTTTTAAACCCCAACATCTGTATGTATATTCTCCATACATACTTTTGTGACCTTAAATTGTGATTCAGGGGTGATATTGTAAGGAGAAGTGAGATACTGGTCACTCTTAGGGATCAAAGGGTTAAAGAGAGTTAAATTTCTTAGTGCCCTCTTGGGGAAAGTGTAATAATATTAAACCTATTTAGGAGAAGATTACAAGTGTTATACTCTGCTTTGAGTGAATTTATTTTCCATTAAATTAAAAAAAAAAAACATGAAAAAACCTTTTTTTTTCATCAGATGTGGTCAGAGCGACTGGAGAAGATCACATCAGTGAGTGAGCAGTTGTGTTCACATGTGGCTCTTAATATTATGATGAACCTGGAAGATGCTCATAGTACATATGCACAGTCCTTTCATCTTGTCAAAAGAGAAATTGCAAAGGTTAGACATTTGTGAACAGTAATTTTGTGTCTAAACAATTGATTCTTCTCTTCCTCATGGTTGGTCATGTTTAATGGAAATACTGGAAAATTGTGATCATATAAAAGGCATAGTTTTAAGTCCTTGGTTGGTTGGCAATAATGTATCTCTTCAATGGAAAAAAATGCTTTTACTATAAAGTGAGAGGTTTAGCAACCAATTATTCTGTACTTGTGTATCTGGGAACCCACATCTAATGTCTGGTTTATTGGAGAAAATGAAAAAAAAAGCATTTTTTTTTTAAACTTCTATGGTTTTCTGTCAGCGGTTTATTATTGTCTGAGGATTGTCACTTGCAGATGTTTCAGGAAAGGAGTGCTGAATAATTGTTTTGTTCCTTGAAAACTTCATTTATTTTCTACTCTGCAGTTCATACTAAGATGACTAATACGAAAAAAGGATCTGCCAATGCATGTTTTCAATTCTTTTGTATTTTTTCATACCAAGGCTGAAGCAGAGACCAATGATAACCTGCAGTTTCTGAGCACTCTCCTACCTTGGTTTGAGAAGCTTCATTATGCAACCAAATCTGCTGATATGGTATCTGTTTTCCCACCGTTAGTTCACACTCTCTATCTTGTCTGGGTTCACTCAAGGTAAGTTTTGTTACAAAATCTGACGTTAAGAACTAATAGAAGCTTTCAGCTAATCATGTTTAAATGTGGTTTTCAAGGAAGTTTTTTTCAGGATGGGACTTCCATTAAACAGACTTGTTTAACTTATTTTGGCAGCACTAAAGGAAAAAGAGGCTGGTTGTACTTCATGTGATTTCATTTCCATTTTAGGTATTACCATGACCACAGAAATTTCACAAGATTACTGACCATGTTGTCAAATGAGGTTGTCGCTCGAGCAAGGCAGCTTGTAGGAGAACATGTGCTGGAAAATCTCTTGGCAGTAAGTGAATTTTCTCTGTTGCCTCTTCCAAACTACACCTTTTCAGCTGTATTCATCTGCTCCAAAACTCTTTGGAAACTCAGGTAAAGAACATCAGCCTCTGCATGGGTATTAAGTTGGACATGTTCTTCATGATGATCGCTCTGGTAACCTTCATGTTTCTTTCTCTAGTCTTACACCAATTTGAAAGATGCCTTGCGTGTGTGTGCTGCATTCCGAGGTTGTTACTTGGATAAAAAGGACAGAGCTGATGAGACAAATCAACAAAGATTATCTGAACAGTCAGGAACTAAGTAAGTCTGTGTACAATTAAGACATTCCTCCACCTCTGAGACCTCTCCATTTGAAAGCAAACAATTCACATTTTCGATTCCTTGTGAAAGGAACTTTTGGTAGCCTGGGCGAAACCTCTCATTATTGACGTTTTGGCGTGAGCGTTTTTTCGCCCGAGGGAAAATATGGAGCTGTGAGCAACGCGAGCTGGGAGAGGTCTGAAGGGGTTTAGTATTGATAATTCAAAGGGTGGATAACGCTATCTAATACATAAATCGCTATCCAGCGGATGTGTTTACAAAACGTGCTGTATTAACGAATAAAGGGGTTAAGTTTCTAAAGAAACTGTGATGCTGCATCGGTGGGAAAGTATAACAGGGTAATTTGGTATTATCAAGTGAGTTGATAACGTAAATTTGACCTCCGTAAAGAGTTTCACAGCATACGTTTCGAGCGTTAGCCCTTTATCATTTTCTCTGACGAAGGGCTAACGCTCGAAACGTCAGCTTTGAAACTCTTTACGTTGGCCAATTTATGTACTGGGCTATCCACCGTGTAGACATTTATCCACTGGATAGTGTTATCCACCCCTCGAACAACCGGAACCAATTTGATAAATTGTGTTCGAGGTAAGGCGACTGTTAGTCAACAAAGATATGTTTTCAGCGTGCGTATTTTTACCCTATTGCTCAGGACAGCTTGGGATAAATATGTACAAAAGAGTATTACATCGTTGACATCCTGAACATTGCGGTTGCATTTTTTCCCCAGTAGGGACAGCGGAGGTGTTGTGTGGCACAGCAAATTATACAACAACAGCTTAACACCCAGAAATACAAAGATGTTTAATCGACGGAACAGCCTCTCAGAAAGCAACAGTGGTTATGATACTCTAGAACTATGGACTGACTCTGCATGGCCTGCTCGAAACAATGCGTGTTTTACATCGCTAAATAGTTTCATGGAGCGCTGTAATGATGTGCTGGAGCTCGTTCAGACAACTCAACATTTTGAGATGCTAACGTGCACTGCTCAAGTTGGTGGTGCTGGTGGTAACAGTTTGGACAGTCAAGTGAGGGAGATCCATCGCAAATTTAAGGAGGCTGTGCGTTCTTTTCAGCAGATGCCACATGTAAGACCACAGAGAATTGTTTGTTTATTTTCAACTCTGTGTATAAAAGACATACCCACTTACAGTGAAGCTTAAACTTGTTTCAAGCGGTCTTTTTTTATAACACGGTTTAAGTTTGTTTTCTTTATATAAGCTGCTAAAACTCGAAATGCTTGTTTCCTTGAAATTTAGCACATTGACGATACAAGTTGGTGACTACTTGAATCTTATGAAAAATTGGAGTTTTTCAGTTCTCTGTTTCTGATTTTCATTCGGTTAAACCTGTTTAAGGAAACGTGTTTTGATGGTGTGAATGGGAAATAAGGCTAGACGTACATTTACTTCAAATGACGTACTCAGAATTGGAGCTATATCTCCGTCGTAAACTGCGAATGATGTTTTACAAGTAATATTGTTCAAAAAAATGTTGTTTTTCAGGATGTGTTGAACGCAACTGAAACTCAGGAGTTTGAAAGAGAATTCTTCGCCTTCCGTTCTGTAACAAGGGTAAGTTTTTTTGTTTGTGCCGTTCTATTTGGTGACGTTTATTTTATATCTTGATTTAAGTTTATCCAACCAGTTTCTCAGGACTTAAAGCAATCTTATTTCATCGCTCTCAGGATTTAGAGTACAACCTAGCCGATGTGATGAGACAAAGTTTTAAGCAGTGCTGGGACACAAGAGCCAAACTGAGGCTTCTGGAAGTGTTTGAAGGAATCAGTGGACGAGAACTTGTTCAGGTGAGAATCAAAGAGAAGGAAAATGAAGTATACTTGTAAAAGTCATGCGCTAAAGCACATATCTGGTAAATTCTCCTAACGTTACGTCGTATCCAGGAAGATTAGCAACACTTGGTTGCATCATGTCCGGACTCTAAATTCAACCGTTTGCAAGGCCGCCATTTGGCAAGCCAAAATTTGAAAAATGGTCGCTAGGAATAAAATTCTAGTCGTCAGAGAAACAAAACTCGTTTTTGGAGGTAAAGGCGGTATCTCAAGGCTCGATACTCGATCACCAAAGAAAAAGAAGTACTTTACACACAAGAAAGCTTTCGAACATTTTCAAATTTTATTGTATGCAATCTTATATTATCTTGACCATAAACACAAGTTAATAAGTACGTTGCAGCCAAATGTATTATGGCCACCAATCACAGATCGCCAAATTGGGGACTTTCGAGGCAAGTGTAGTGCCCTATGTTTTTTCCCACTCGCCTCAGCGATCCAAACGGTTATAGCTTGGGGAGCTGCATGTCACATGCAGAGGCTAGAATAATTTATGATAGCCATGCAAGTCAGTCCCGTATACAGACGTAACCTTTCCAATTTTTTTTTCCGAACACCTTAGACAAATCTGAAGGTTACGTTTACTGCTTTGGTGCTTGGTTTCACTCAAGAGTTACTGGACATGAGAGTATTCTTCGAGTCTCACATGGACTCCCCTCCGACTTATCCTCACCTTCCTCCAGTATCAAACAAGTTACTTTGGCTTCGCGGATTCAAAATACACATACAGGTACTTGATAATACTTGAACAACACTAAAAGAATCTTTAGATTGACCCTTATTTTCTTCAACCCATATCTGGGATTATAGAAACGCAGGCGTCCGATTTGTCTGATATTTTGCAAACTTACAACTCAGTTGGAAGTTTAGAAGGAACACTATATGTGTAACCTTGCTACGTCTGATAGGCTCAATTGGAGGGTGACATACATACGAACCACGAAGAGAAGTTTCAGGGCTGATTTACCAATAGAGCAATAGCCAATCGATGATAATAAAAAATCTTGAGGTAGGAGCAAGAAAAGCCAAGAAAACTAGAGTATGTCAAGGGAATTTAGCCCCAGGTATTGCTGATGTTTTTTTTCTAGTAGCTCTTGCGAGTGACCTGCAAGGAACTCCTTTAGAAGTTTGGCCACGTACTAAGTTCATCACGCTCAAACAGTTTTTAAATTGTGTTTTTTGTAGGAGCCCATGTCTCGGCTGCATCGTGTCTCTCCAGCTTCACTTAAAGGTGACGATGGATGGCGTCTAAGAGATACATACTCAGATCTGATCAAAGACATTGAAAGGTAAAGGCAACAAGAGGCAGTATTTTATTAGCACATTTGAAGACAATTTTCGTACTGGTAGGCTTCGGTCTTTTGTCTTTAGATCTAAAACCGCGGTAGGTGGTTAACTTTTTGTTGAGTTGAGGAAAATACAACAGGGGTGGTGATGATCCTACATTTGACGGAAACGTGATAACAAAATCTTATTTCGTGATGTTCAGGTGTAAGGGAAAGCTTTTATATTTTTTTCCAAGGTGCGAAGCAGAAACTATTCGTCAATGGCAAAGCAAAATGGAGCCTGAATTGAGGACCAAATTAAAACAGCCTCTTTTGGTGAGTTGACCAAGGCATCCTTTATAAAAGGCACGTTGTTTCTGCATGTACGAGCAACTTTGGATATCGCTTTACTTCCAGGTCTGCACAAAATAAAAAGGGTTGGCACAGAAAATTATTTTAAGATGAAGAATTGATAACTAAAGATCAAAATTGAAATTGGAAGAGGTGTTACAAATGTTTCTTCTGTCATTACAGAGGAGATAACCTTATAAATGACTGAATATCCACCCTTATTCATAAAAAAAGGTTGAAAGGGGAAAATACCTTACGATATTTGAGTTGTTTCGGTGAAGTTAAAAATGTGAATCAAACCACAAAATATCACTTGGGGTAGATCGAAGAACAGCCAAGAGGTATGCATAAGCCAAAATTAATCAGGAATTGCCATCGATGGCCTATGATGGTCAATAATTGTCAAAAATGGCTAAGGATGGCCAACAATGGTCAAGGATGGGCAAAGATGGCCGATAATGGAGAGATATAACTTGTTTTATTTGCTAATTGTAGATTGCGGAACCTGCAAGCGAGGGAAGTAGACCCACTCTACACGTGAACTTTGATCCTGAATTGATGCTTCTTTTACGAGAGGTTCATTACTTAGGAGGAGAGCCCTTCTTGACACGTCTTCCCGACCCCGCCCGAGTGCTGCTGAGATCAACAGATGACAGTCTTCTAAGGTCCACTGCTACGAGGCTTGAAACTATCGTGACACGGTACAATTCTGTGATGGCAAACATGAAGGAGTTCGAGAGGCCTTTGTTTGAGAGGAAGCTTGCAAAAATTGATGAGGTAAACCATGTAGTGGTTAAGAATTATTCACTGGAGTGAAGGTATATATCCCACACTTTCAACGACCCTAAGGTGAAGAAAAGATTTTATAAAAAAATACATAGAAACCGAAAAAAATAGTTTATTTTTGTAAACATACCGGAAAATGGTCGCAAATTAAATATGGCCGTAATGGATAATCATCACGGGAGCCTGCTCGTGGACTAAATAGACGGCGGTCAGCGGTCTAAGGGGCAGCGGTAAACCGCTGGTAACTGGCTAATTTTGAAACCCTGTTCCTGTCGCACCTGGAATGTTATACTGAGCTAAAAATACTTTCCGATTTCTACCTTTCCAAAGTTACAGTTGTATTGTTTGAAACACAACACTTCCAGTAATAGCACAAAACGTTTGAATAATTCTTCTAACATTATACTGTTTTGCATAAATATTTTCTGACTAAGGTTATCTTTTTTGTTCTCTTTTTCATCCTCTATCTTGCTATCACAGTTGCTCGGCCAAGGACTCCATGTGTTCACATGGAAGACAGTGGAATCAGCAGATTTTGTTGAGCATGCGTCATACCTGGTTTGTGACGATCTCCATCGCAACCTGGGCGTGGTCCAGAGTAACTTCAGAGAAATCTGCAACATAGCAGCTTCGTGGTCTGACAATGGACTATTGGATGTGTTCAGTCCACGTGATGTTAGCAAGTCATTCTCAATGGACAAACTACAGGAACAGCATGGGTAAATTGAAAAATAAAAGATAAAAAATAAATAAATAAAACATGGAAAGCGATTGCGAACTTAATTGCAGTTTTACAAAATTTTTGCTTAATTACTATTTGCAGGATGATTTACGAGACGCATAAGCACGCTGTCACTGTAGGAGGGCACAGAATCCATGCCTTATTGCAGTCTACGTTTGAGGTGAGATTGGCTCGACTTTAAAGCTTTTTGGGAACCCTAGAGGATGTGGTGACGTTTTGGTTAGCGCGCTGTAATCTGGTTCTAGACTGTGCGCCTTGGCTCGGTCCTTGAGTTATTTTCAAGAGCAAGGCGCTTAACTCTCAGTGTTCCTCGTCATTCAGGAGTATATATGGGTAGCACGATTTATGAGGGTAACCTGAGGTAAAATAAGGGCGTCATCCGCTATGGATTACCATCCCTTCCTAGTCGTCTAACTCCATGGGATGGATGTAATGTATGAGCCTTGAGTCAAGTACACTACAACGTGTTCATTGAATAAAAGGTGATATAAAGTTGGCTGTCAACTGCTTGTTTTTATCTGTCAGGCGGCGCAGATAAGCCGTGCTTCTCCTGCCTGGCAGAGTTACATCAAGTATGTCAGTGGAGTCGTGATGGAAGGACTGAAGACATCTACTCAAACCTCATTGCAATCCATGTTGAACCAGATTGTATTCTCCAATATGTCAAATGTGAGTTCTCGCGGTATACCTCTTCACAAATAGAAACAGCTACCGGCACCGTACAAACAACTTTCTCACTCCATTTACACAATCAGTGAGCCAAAAAGAACTTCCTAACTTTACTGACTGATCACAACCGGACAGTCCTAAATGAAGAACATTACTTAAGTATTACAGCCTATAGTAAGACGGCAACACTGAAAATTTAATCGATCCTACCATCTGATCGACAGATATGAGTTTGTGAGAACACAAAGCAGGAAAAATATTAAAAAGAAAAATTTTCAGCCGTATTTTGACCCTAGATCTCCTCACAACCCTTCACTCTCCTTTCTGTCTGCCATATAAATTATGATGTTAGTTTGGAGAATTAGGTTGGATCATCTTATAATCTACTGATTGATAATTGTTTCCTTATTCTTATCCCTGGTCTGCTTGATATTGTATTGATATTGTAAGGAGAAATTCTGGCTTGGGAGTTAAAGTTCTATTCTTTCCAACAAGCCCTAATTCTACTGATGATTTTCCAGACCTATTCTCAAGTTGTCTACGATTTGAGTGGGTAACATAATTTAGAGCTGATCCTCAAGAAGTAAGAGAGGCTGGAGTTTGTTGATTTTAGATGGCTCTCACTTATATTGCGAACATTTCAATTAACCTTGCAGGATTCTGAGGTCCTACCAATACTGACTATTCGCTTGGAGCTAACTGGTTCCCAGGTTTTGTTTAACCCATCACTTGATGACAAGTCAGCCTCATCCAGCGTCCAAGAGAGTGTAGAAGGATGGTTAAATGACTTTCTCGGACGTGGTGATTTCGTGAGGCCTGTGGATGAAGATCTAAAGGTAAAGTTTTAAGGAATTGCGGAGCTCTCAAGAATGACTTTTACGTGAAATCTTTTTTTTCGGTTTAGAAGTGACTTCTTAGAGAAAAATGTAACTTATGGTATCGTTATGAGTATTAGGTTTTGCATTTTATTTAGTTGTTAAATGTCAGCCATAGAGAATTTAGGTTAGAAAAGAAGTCCTTAGTTCAAAAGAAAAAAAAAAGGAAAAACAAATGAAAACAAATGCCGCCGATAAAGGTGTCTCAGAATCAGAGGTGTTTTTTTCTTAAATAAGAGAAATACCTCAATGTCTAAACGTTTACCGCATTTTATATCTGAGGAGCTAATAACGTATAAGAACATATCCCGTTCTTTCAGAGCTACAAGGAAGTCATTGTTGATGATGATGAGGTACAGACACTGGTGAAACAAACCAAAGATGTGGTCGAGCAAAATGCCTCCGAATGCAAGGTAGGAATCATACAGGGCATGCTGCTCCGAAGTAGTAATATCACTGATACTACTAAAGTGTTTTTCGTTAGATCCGAGTTTTAGCAGCGAGAAGGAAAGTTGATAGAAAAATTTTCCCTTTTCTTCGTTGAATCACTGGTAAAAAAAAAAATATTATGAATTTACACCCCTAAATCAGTATCCGTATTCTCCATACTGTTCTCTAGACATTTCCTGAGGTGCTGACAAGGAGAATTCGTTGAACAATCGAAAACTTCTTTAGTTGTTAATCAATTCCTTTATTCTTGTGACCTCATTTTGTGTTTCATTATATATTATATACATATTGTAAGATATTGTAAGGAGAAATTAGATGTTAGTCACTCTTGGGAGTCAAAAGGTTAACAACAACAACAAAAAAAACTATCATAAATTGATTGCAGAGTTTCCTGGCGACGTTTCGGGAGTATGCATTTTTATGGATACAAGATGTACAACGAACATTTGAGGAGTTTCTCGCAGGAAATATAGTGGCTCATCCAAGGAAAATGAACCGATCCGAGCTTATACGATCCAGAGCATCACAGACATCAGAAAAATCCAGGAAAGAGAAAGAAAGAGACCCGAGGTAGGTTGTTCTCACATCAGGTTTTCCACCTTGTATGACGGATCATTGTTATAAGGTGGTTAAACTTGTTCGATGAGCTGTTGGCTTGTCGAAATACAAGGTATATCGTTGGAATCTGGAACGGATATTGTAGAAGACACATGGCGAAAATGTTTGGACCGTATGTAAGGCTTTGGATAGCGTGTGAAATCCTACATTGATTACCCGTTCAATTCCTTTCTTTCTCTGTCCGGTGTTTCCTATACGAACTTTGTTCATGACTGTGAATATATGAAAATCATATGTGTTTTTGCGGGATTGCGGTTTAAGAAATGAATATGAAAGCGACCTTCGCAGTAATGAACACTTCTTAAGCAATGATGAAAATAAGGCCTGGAAAAGAAATTTAGGTCAGTACAGGCCTTTGTTGTAAGTCATGTCACTCACTTATGATTTTGTCTGTACTCAGGTCCAACCGCAGCTCAGCTGCTGCCTCCACACTCAGTACCAGTGGAGCTATGGGATTGTCAGAAAAGACTTTCCTCAACCCCAAGAAAATGACAGCTACTAAGGAGGTTAGGGATGAAAAAGGACCATCCTTGGATGATTTCGACAAAGAGATAGAGATTTATCAGGTATGTAAAGTCGTAGTCCTCTCCTCTTCATTGACATCAGATGAGACTGTTCGGCGAATCTGTCAAAAGAAGAGTCTTTTTTTTGCCCTTCTTATGGAAGGAAACATTGTCTCTATTTACCCCTAACACGATCTTCTCAATGTAACATACAACTACCATTTACACTTTGAATAAATAAATATTGAATTTTACAAAATAAATTTGAGAAAGAAAAGTCAGAAAAGCCATGGAAGCTTTGAAGCTGACGGCTTTCACGACCAGGTCATCACCTTTAAATTTTCAATAAAATGTTAACAGAATAAAAGGGTAAGGTTGAGATTTGAATTTTACCATTTTCTTAGACCGCAAGAGACGAGATCTACAATCTGCAGGATTGGTGCGATGTAGGTTGGATGAGAGTGAACATGAGGCCAATCAAACAAGTTCTTGGCACTTATGCCAGCAAGTGGATGTTTGTTTACACCAAATATCTTTCGGATCAGGTAATACAAACAGTTATCTAATAACAAGATTGAGGGTAAGATAAAGCGTCAGGATTATATCTCTCATATAGACAGAAGGCAGCTATGCGTTAGATATTCAGTGGTCTTGGCTGTGGAATGATTGTCTTACATATTATGTTTTCTTTATCAAGAGTCCTTGAATCTATTCCTATTGTTCCATTTCTAGGTGTCTTCAACGTTAAATGACCTTGATTCCTTCCTGAAACGCATCGAACCTGGAATAGAAGCGATTACAGGAGAAGAGCAAGACATTGCTTCTTTTATGCGCCTCATGAGAGTTTTTAATGAGGTAGGTTCTTGATGGTATATCAGATTCATTGTCTATGTAAAGAGAGTAACTTTTGGGTTTGGGTTTTATAGGTGAGTACTCAGCAAGCGGAGATGGACAGCAAGTTTGTAGCGATGAAAAGAACCATTACTCTCTTAGAAAAATACGATCAGAAACTTCCAGATATGACTCAAAAGTTCTATGCTGCAGCACCACAGAGGTACGTACTTTTCATCACAAATAGGATCTAGATAGAATAAGAAAGATTGTAAGTTTTGAGCACGGTAAGAAAATAGAAGAAGGTGTTTTTTCGTCTTGTCACGAGCGTGGGACAAAGAAAAAATTCTGAGTCCCCATGAGGAATGAAACCTCAGACCTTCGGTTTTCGCGCTCCGATGCTCTACCACTAAGCCACATAGACTCGCGTCCCGAATACTGCTAGAATCAGCGATGTTGATAGCGTCATGTTTGTAAATAGAATAGGAAAGATGGTAAGTTTAGAAAAAAATTCTGAGTTTCAGAAAATTTTTGTTTGTCCCATGCTCGTGACAAGACGACAAACATCTTTTTCCAATAAGGATCTAGTCACCCAAGAGACCAAGCATTTTGAACCCTTTAACCCCTAAGAGTGACTTGCGTCTAAGGTCATGAGAGTAAAGGAAATGATCACCAACTAACGAAGCTCCTGATCGTTAAACAAATTCTCCTTCTTAGCACCTTGGGAAATGTATAGAGAACAGTATGGAGAATATACATAATGATTATAGGGCGTAAAGTGTTAAAACAGCGCTAAATTTTTTTTAAAAGCGGTTCTGAATGCTGTAAGAACGGTTTCCTTGTCTGCTTTGGGCCAATAAAATACAGAAAGCCACTGAATTTTGTTTTTTTTTTTGCTTCTTGAAAACGTTGAGCTTGCTTAGTTTTTTCTGCTCATTAAAAGAAAACAGTGTACATTGTTCTGATGAGAAAGCTTGAGTCTTCAAAATGATCTTCATTGTTGTTTTGTGATTACGAGTTCTTAATGAGGATCTTCGTTTTTACACAGGTGGAACAACTTGAAGATGAAAGTAAATCAAGCCAAACAACGTCTGGGACCAAGAATACAAGCTGAGGCCTCCAGTGTCACACAGGTAGCTAACCCCGTCAGAAGTGTGCTCTCCGTAGCGTGTTCTTTCATTCTGATTCTGATGGTGTACTTTAAAAAAATGTTGATTGAAGAGTGCAATTAAGGGAAGGACACAAAACTGCTAATTAAATCTCACCCACAAATTACCGGTAAATTTTGTGCTTTTATCCTATCCATTCTACAGGAGCTTAAAGCATTTGGTGATCGCTGTGAATCTCTGGCCAGAGAGTTCTCTGATTCCGAGGCGTTCAACAGAAAGTGTCCTATTTATACTGCTTTCACCATTATGGACACGTTTGGCAGAAGGCTCGAGATTATGGAGAGCGAGGCGCAGGCTAGTACTAGGACATTTTTTTTGTTTTTATTGGTTGTAAGAGCAGTTTTCTAGATACGTCAGTAACTCAGACATGTTTCCCAAGCTTGATGTTTTCTTTCATCGTAGATAGATACAGTTATTGTTGTTATAGCTTCTCTGGCAAAAGTCCTATCAGTTGGTTTTTGTTAAAAGCGGCGGTATGCAGTGGGGTACACAAGGGGTGTATACCGCGCTTGGCTTAGAGCGCCGAACTTTCGTGCTTGTGGTCGACGGTTCAAGTCCCAAACCGGTTCGACACTCAGGGTCTTGAAATAACTGAGGAGAATGTGCTGCATACGTGAAACATTTGCAAATGGCTAGACATCTTAGTTCTCTCGGAGAAATAAAATAAAACTGGTTAGCAGGGGACTTCAAGAACCCACGCACTTATCGCAAAAGAGTAGGGAGCGTAGCTTCTGGTGTTGGGTGTGGCTTTGTTAGACTTCTTGTGTAGACTCCATTTAAACCAGCTTTAAGGCTGAACTGGGCCAGCTTGTTGAAATATTGCAAGTAAATAAAATGTATTAATAAGAATAGGCTAAATGAATGAGGGTGTAAGTCTCTATAGAAACTGTGGTGCTGCGTCGGTGGGAGAGTATAACATGGTAAATTAGTATTATGAACTGAGTTGATAACGTAAACTGGCCACCGCAAAGAGTTCCAAAGCTGATGTTTCGAGCGTTAGTCCTTCGTCTGAGCGAATGATTTCTAGGGCTAACACCCGAAACGTCTGCTTTGAAACTCTTTGCGGTGATCGATTTACATTATCAACTCAGTTGATAATACTGAATTACCCTGTTCCTAAGAGTAGGCCAATTTGACTCTTGTTTATCAACAGGACCTGATTGAGCTTCAAGAATTGTTTGAAAAGGCTGTGGTTAACTTTTCTGTTCTCCCTCGGTAAGTTGCGTCAACAGCGTCGAATTTTCTTTTCAGTGTGTGATTTATTCTTAAGGAACCTTTTCCTTGCCATCGTGCCCATCTAAAAGATTTACTCACCCCCCTAGACTTCGCTCTGACTTGGAATGTTTACGCGAGGTCTGGAATACGTGGCGGGCAGTGCAGGAACAACACACGGAATGGAAACGAGGTCGTTGGCAGCGAATCAACACAAAGCTTATGAAGAAAGCCACTGAGGCGCAAACTGATGTCGTCACAGCTCTGCCTTTTGAGGCGCATGAGTGGGACGTGTTTACTGGCATGCATGATGCTATCCTTGATATTCAGGTATTATAGAACCCCCCTCCGAGAGCTTCAAGGGTTTGACGCTTTTGTGCTATGTATCTATGCGCTGTGCATCTATGAAAAAGAAATGTCACAATCGGTTAAGTTGGATCTTGTGCCTTTTTTTCTTGCAACTGTGACCAAAATAGCTCTCGGAACGGCATGCGTCTTTTAGGGTCACTTTCGCTGGTAGATTCAGCTGCTGGGTCAATTCGTATCAAGGGAACAAACGGGTTTTAAGTGTAAATTGTCACCGGTGATATCTTCGTAGTACTTAGGTAAAGTGTCCTCATTTTTCCGCCTAGATAAAGATCAAAAGCTAGCGTGGAATGAAAAGTTAATACCCTGAAGTTAAGTTATTGGCATTGGGCTTAGATTTGTGGTTGAAAACGTCGTTTTAATTTCTCTTGCATCGGTGGTGGGCTTAGATTTGTGGTTGAAAAAATCGTTTTCATTTCCTTTGCATCTGTTGTTGTTAGGCTTGCCTACCAATCATTGATGATCTCAGTCGCTCGGCCATGCGGCCTCGACACTGGAAGCAACTATTACGTGTAACAGGAGGAGCCGTGCAGATCAGTAATGAAGGATTGACGAGAATGACTTTGGGACAGCTCCTGGAGCTGGGGCTACACAGTAAGGAGTTACTTAATAGAGTGAAGTTCTCTTTATTGATTCAAGGAGTAGGTCATTGTCAGTGCATTGTGAAAAATTTAGTGTCAATGTTTCAGTCACGATCCGTTTCAATCTCTTCCATCTTTGGCCTTGGTTGTTCTTTCTTAGTTTTTTGTAATGCTTTTTTGTGTTTTTCTTTCTTAATGAACAAGTATTTGTAGTCTCTCTTGAGTCGAAGGTGCTTCAGCATGTTGCAGAAATATCTCAAAATATCCATTCTCTAGGAGAAAGCACTTACATTAGAAATTTAAAACAGTCTCAATTATCAGCAGTATCCACTACTTAAGCGAGCTTAATCAGCGCTTTGCTACTATCATTTCATGCTTATCCGTAAGTATTTTACTTTTTCCAATAGTAATTTAAAACGAAGCTAGAATAATAGGTTTCTGACGACAAGTTTGGTTGCCATTGAAAGACTTAAATTCAAAATTTGTGTTTGTTTGCTGTTATTTGTAGACCATGCTGAAGAGGTCCGGTCCATAATTCAAAGGGCTGCAAAAGATGTGGCTATTGAGAGTTCACTGAAGACGTACGAAGAAGTCTGGCTGAGTAAGATCTTTGAGCTCAGGGTGCACACTAGAATGAAGGGCCCCTCCTCTGCTGCTGCGGCCACTCAAGAGGTAAATATGGCGACGAAACGTAGATCAGAAGGTCTGAGGCTCGATTCCAAAGGGGTTACCCAGATGTTCTTTGTCCTATGCTCGTTGCAGATCCAGCGTCATCCTTTTTCATTCAACTTAAGATTTACCTTCAGTCATATCGTTTGTCAACTTGTCAGATTTAGTTATTTCTGCATAACATAACAGAACTCTCAATTTTGTTAAAAAGACCGCGTTGCTATTTTATTTAAACTCTTTTGCAATTTGTCTTTTCGGCATCTGGAATGAGGATAGTTTTTGAGGTTTTAGTTTACGGTAAGAATTACGGAAAAGTAGAACTCCGTCTCTGCGAAGACAAACGAAAAAATTGTACCCGAAAGTTTGTTCTTGCCGCTTGTTGTTCGCGGGTAGGAACAGTATTTATAGTAGCAGTAAAGGCGGTTGAAAATTAATGCACAGTGTGGGCGTTCATGTATGTCCGATGATGGATTGCTTCCACAGACACCTGGCAGCGAGTTCGGTAATGACTCTGATATGAACATGCATGCTCCCCGCGGTCTGTCCAGTCGAGTATCAGTGACAAGTCATGGCAGTGGTGGAGGCTTCAGCGTCAAGGATGGAGCTGGTGGAAGCCACAAGACAAGGAAGACGTCGATCGCTGGATCAGCTACTTTCTCTCACTCCCTCATGAATTTAACTCAGGTGACGATGCTTGGCAGACTTTAGTTTGCAAAGGATTTAGCGAGAGAGTATGTGAGAGTCGCTTTAAGGGGTATAAGGGGGCGTAACAGCACACAACCAATCAGAGAAGGGCATATTTTACCGAAAGTACAGGGTATATTGTACCGCTCGTTGTGGTTTTCATTCATGCGTTCTCGGGCAATGCTCTCACGTATTATCCAAATACACTAAGTAGAGTACAGATAGAGCGCGAGTCGAGTACAAACATCACGCGATATTGGATAGTTAGTTAGTTTGTACTGTAAAAGAAACCTGTTTAACCGGTCGGCTGCACGCGCTACGCTTGTCTATTTGCTTCGCTTTTTCCTCATAAGAAATGCATTTAAAATTAAGCGGTGGAATTATAAATAACTTATTAGTCGTTTTAGTGTGTAGTATTGCTGAGTATTTTCACTCGTTGTTTGTATTTTAAAAAAAATACGGCGTCAACTAGTTTGAGAGTACCTATTATTTGACTCAAGCTACAATCTTTTCATACATCAGTGTTTCATTTTTCTTACACCAAATGTGATCTCCACAGGACACAGGCCCAATTTGTTTACTGGATAAGTGTGAACCAATTTTTGAAGAACTCGAAGATCATCAGGTATTTTGAGTATGGTGATGTCTGTTACACACTTTTCGCTGAAATGGACGTTAGGTTACTTAATGTCATCATCCAATTTAAAAATTGGGAATTTGGCTGAAATTTCCTTAAAAATGAAAGTATAAGAATTAGTGACGTGGATTTCTTCCGTTTTGTGCAGGTTTCCCTTCAGAGCATGCTCAGTGGTAGTGCCGCCGGCTCATTTGCAGACGACATCATGAAATGGCAGAAGCGATTGCAGACAATAGAAGCTGTGCTGAGTGTTTGGCTTGAAGTACAGGAAAAGTGGATAGAACTGGAGGATGTACGTATAGATTTCTGCTCGTGAAATAGTAAATGTTATAACTTATAAGCTTGTAGAAGCTTTTATAGGCGTCGATTATTACAACACTTGAAATAATATGACAGTTTTCTAAAAAGAGGCTTATCAAACTAATTAGAGAGCTTTTTTCGTGTTGTATAGAACTGACTGTTTAGCTTTGAACAGCACTTGTTCCCTTGATGTGTAATGTCTTCACGCAAGTCTTTGGTTATTAATGAAATAAATTTTAATTTAACCAACGGGTGAACTGCAAGTGAAGAAATGATCCTGCCAAGTGAGGTGCAATTTAACTCTTTGACTCCCGCGAGTGACCAAGACAGAATTTCTCCTTACTGTATCGGTACAATATCATGCAAACAAGTAATGAGAATAAAGAAAAAAAATCAATCATGGGATAACTAATTGATCCGATACCAAACTCTCCAAACCAACATGATGAGAATCGTTTGACAGACAGTAAGGAGAACTACTAATGAAATCTTGGGAGGGTTAAACAATTTCCGAAAAGAAACCTGAATACTCATATTTCGATGGGATCCGAAACGGTGCCTTTTTCGGGCTTCTTTTCTGCAATATCTTAACTGCAGCTTACCTGCGAAGATCATTTCCTCACTCGTCTCTGGTTAGTTAAGTGTCCTGCACAGTTCTGATGTAGTTAAACTTCTGTGTAGGTCTTCTCCAGTTTGGATCTCCGCATCGCTATGCCTCATGAAACGAACCTATTTTCTGCTGTGAATCGCGACTTCAGAATCTTGATGAAAGTCACAGAGAAAAATCCAAACGTGCTACAGGCATGCTCGAGGATAAGTAAGTGGACAGCGGTATTAAATCGTACCCCAGCCTGGTGGTAATACTATTACCGTTACTTATTTACAAATTGTTTTTCCCAAGAGGTTGGTTAGCTTGTGGTCATTTATATGTTAAGTTAAAAGTTTCAAGGGCAGATGAAATTCCAAACGACAAGAGTCTTTTAAGATAACGACTCTGTGAACTTGAGCTAGAGGTTTTCGCGAACAAACTCGGATTATTGTCCAGGGAAAGGTTGTAACCTATTATAAGAGGATGATGGAACAATATTCATTTCCACTTCAGTATGGAAGCTGGCAGACAATTAAAATTCTGCGACAACCAAATTTCATACTTCCCCCTTTCCCCCATGGGACATTTTTTGTTCTCTTTGAGGGAGTAATGTGTTGGTTTTAAAGGCACAAGTATTTCATAAATGATAAACCATTTCTACTCCCGTTATATTGGTGGTTCATATTTCTTGCAGATATTCAAGCCAAACTAGAGAAGTTGAACATGAATCTTCAGCAGTGTTGGAAATCTCTTTTAAATCATCTTGAACGAAGGCGCCAGAAATTTCCGCGCTTTTACTTCCTCTCTACTGAAGATGTACTTCATATTGTATGCAACGGTGTGTCATTGTTGATCATTTTTATGCTTCGTTTTGTTTGTACAATAAGTGATTTAATTACTCTTGTGATTGACTGTTGCTGCTTCTCCGTTCCCAAGGTTACGATCCAGGCCTCGTGAATCCATATTTACCGAAAGTTTTGGAAAACCTTGGTGCCCTTGTTTACGAGGAGATTGAAAACGAAGGACAAGTTTATTTTAGCATCACCGCTGTGGTCAGTTCTCATGGAGAAAAACTTGCTCTTAAACAGGTGAGTAACCCCAAAGTAATTGGTATCTCAGTGATAGGTAGATTTAGTCAATAAAGCACCATAAGCAGGTAAAATTCGTCTTGAGGTCTCCCTGAGATTTTAATGAAATATTGCCTATTTCTAACAAACGCTTTTTGCTTAATTTCCGTACATATATACATACATACGTAAACTTTATTTAGACTCGAATTTGAATGTTGCTAAAAAGCTAACGTCTTCGGGTTAAATATAATAAATAGAATGAAAATACAAATTTTGATAAGAATATTAAATTTACATGCCTATCAATTAATACATTAATAAAATAGATTAATACAATAAAATACGATGTAATTTACAATCGATATAAAATACATGCTTGTGATATCAAATGTTAAAACTGACAAACTAAGAATTCGTATAAATCCTCGCAAGCTCTCAGGCCATCAGGTAGGGAATTCCTTAGTTTAACAGCTGAATAATTAAAAGAATGTAGACCACATACTCGGCTTAGAAAGTGACAGGATGTGGTGACCACGTAGGTTGTAATTTGCAGCGCGGGGAGGAAACATGGTCGTCATATAATACGGGTAGTTTTCTACAAACAAGCTCCGTGGAACAGAATGGTCTTCCCTTCGGCAAGACGCCCTGTCCTCACATTGTCTCTCTAATGCTAATGAGAAAAACACCCAGGAGTATAAACTGATGACAGTAAGATGTGAGGAACATTGGACGAATTGCCGCGGGGCTATATGCGTTGGACTGGGACTAGTATCATAAAGAGTAGGCAAAGCAATACGCTGTGTCGCTTCGTGACGCTGAAATTGGGATAAACTCCCATATTAACCTCTTCACTCTAACATCGTAATGCATATTCTCCATACTGTTTCCTAACGGGCTGACAAGGAGAATTGGTTTAACAATCAAGAGCTTCATTAGTCGGTGAACATTTTCTTCATTCTCATGATCTTAATGTTCGATTCAGGGGTAATCTTGTAAGGAGAAGTTAGATGCTAGTCACTTAGGGTTGATGGGTTAGTTGACCATTGGGCCCTTGACTCTTAAGTATTTCTGAAATGCGTGTAATCTGGCGCTAATCACTGTATCATTTCATTCCAGTCCGTGCTATGTGAAGGTGCAATTGATAGCTGGCTCCCTGGATTGATCGGTTCTCTGAAGCAAACTCTCTTGGATCAACTCACATCAGTGCTTTCTCCTGCCCCACTTGTAAGTAACGAAGCCCAGCCTGACAACGCTGAGGGTGCAGCCCAGCTTGACGAGCCCCCCCGGACAGCTGGAAGTATGAGCAGAGTGGAGAGATCGTTCACTCTGGACAATTGTTCTGAAGTGATTTTGTTGGCGACGCAAATTGAGTTGTGCAAAAAGATCGATAAGTCACTGAAACAGGTATAATGTTTACTTTATGTAATGCTGGTAACTTGACTTTATTTCTTCATTCGGAGAGAGAGACTACTGGTGATGACTGAAAGCTCGATAATGTGATGCGAACAAAATGTTTGAGCAGCTCATCCCGAGTTTCTGTCGCTTAGTGGTGATGCTTCAGATCCCCGAAAGGACTGTTATGGCTTTAAGTTCTTTTCAAAGACTCACATATCTCTTCGCCCGCACATTCGCGTCAGATTTTTACCGTAGATGTGTAGTAAATATCTTTGCCAGACTGTTTTTGACTTCTGTTTGGTATCACAGGCAATGTTTCTTTGTTGCTTTTTTTATTTTTATAATTATTATTATTGTTATACATTTACTGATCGAAAATTACTTAGTAACTTACTTTGAATATTTTAAATATATTGTCATCCCAGGTGGCAAGCGGCGAGAACAAAGAAGCCCTAGGCGAAGTCTATGACAAGCTAACCACGATTTTAGAAGCTACAGCGATGATGCTTAAAGGTGTCGATAAGGAAGGCCAGCCACAGGGAGCTGACGCTGGATACGACAGTGGCGTGAACAGTGATAATGACCCGGAAGAAGCAGCTATGAAAAAGATGAGTCGTAACACCAGTGCCAGTCAAGACCGGCCTGGTACAGGTGTGGCACAAAACGACGAAGAAGTCTCGAACATTTCCGGTGTGTCGCAAAAACAGAGGGTGCCACCTGAACCGGATGAAGCAAAACCTCAAGGCGTGAATAACAAGATGCTGCTATTTCCGAGCCAGATTCAGAAGATCAGTAACATCATCGCCATGTTATCACACAAGAGAAACTTGGTTCAGAGGCTGATCGAACACAGACAAGAGTGGGAGGCACTTAAGAACCCAGAAGACAGTTTTGATTGGCAGTGCCACGCGCGTTGCCGCTGGGAAGAAGAACAGCAGGCTTTCAAAGTCGACATTTTGGACATGGAATTTGATTACGGATTCGAATATCAGGGCACCACATCGAGACTGGTTCTCAGTCCTCTTACGGATAAGTGTTTTGTGGGTCTAGCTCAAGCAGTCAAGACACGAATGGTTGGAGTTTTTACGGGCGAGTTCGTAAGTATTAAAATTCTCTCGTTGTATTTGCAGATTAATTGTCCACGATGTTTACTGCCTGCCACGTTAGATCAAGACGGCAAGCGGTTAACCCCAGTGACAAATAGTGGACCAAAAACAGCATGAAATTGTCGTTAAATAGCAGGGGTACAATTGTGGTACACCCAGTGGCTTTGTAGATGGTGCACTTGATACCGGATTTAGGCTTACAGCTGGTGAACAGGCGGGAAAACAGGACAAAATTCTGTAGGGCATGCTGCCAGGAGGAGCAATAAGCTGCCACAGTGAGGCTAGTCAATGTCAGGTCCTTTGAATTAGCGTAGTGACTAATATACTTCCTTAAATGGTTCAAGTGCCGGTTTTCTTTCTTTAGGGAGCTGGAAAGACAGAAACCATCACTGAACTGGCCAGGATTCTAGGCAGTCCGCTGTACACATTCAATTGCTCCACGCCAATGAATAGAAGTACTCTTATCGACATCTTCAGAGGTCTTGCCTGTTCTGGTATGTTTAGTGCGTGTTGTGTGTAGGTAGACTGGAACTGAGAATACAGACAGAACATAACAAGAAATTATGTAACCTTTGTCTAACTTCCAGGGCTCGTTTACATACTGCTGTTCCTTTATGTGCGGCTGTAGTGTTCAACACAGGCATCTCCAACATTATTCGGAAACATTTTGTACACAACATTTTTCCTCGACATGTGTTTCTTGAGCTGCCTTTTCCTTCTTTTAAAGCGGGTTTAAAACGAAATGTGATTTCAATTCGATTAATTCCTTGATTTATTTTGGAAATATTTACATCTCAGTTTTTGTTGTTCATTTTCATTCCAACTGGCGACTCCTTACAACTCTTCAGCCCAAAATATAATTTAACCCTTTAACTCCCAGAGAAGAGTAATATATAACTTCTACATATAATATCCATACGTTATCTAGCAAACGGGTCATGAGAATATTCAAGCCTATCAGATAGAAGTTTTTATCTTGATTTAACGCAAAATTCTCCTACCTAGTTTACAAGGAAATATGTATCAGCTAGAGGGGAGAATTAGCAATCAGATTTTTGGAGTTAAAGGGTTCAAGAAAGCTTCAGATGATAACGCCTGGTGATCCTTTAAGATTATGTGGTCATCGCATGTGATATCCTTTTGAATAACTAGGCTCGCTGTTTATTTAGTTTCCTTTATCATCTTCTTTTCTTTATCATTAGGTGCATGGATTTGCCTTAATAACATTTCGACCATTCAGCCGCCCGTTTTGTCTGTTTTAACACAACTTGTGACAGTAGTTCTTGATGGTTTGAAAGCAAGCAAGTCCACGGTTGTTCTTCACAACGATGAGATAACACTGGTGCCTCAAGGCGCGTGCTTTGGAACACTGAATTACTCTGCTGACCAGCACAAAACGGAATACGATCCATCGGTGGGTTTTTTCCCGTCCTTCAAGTCATCCGCCACTTTTCTTCCTGTAGATCTGTGGGAAAAGTTCCGCCCTGTGGAACTCGTTGGTCCTGATCTGCAGGTCATTATTCAGGTGTGGCTGTTAAGCCAGGGCTTCACGCAGGTGTCCTCTCTGGCATCCAAGATTGTGACCCTAAGGAACCTTTGTCTGCAGCTACTTCCGAGCTCCTCTAAACCTCTCCCAGCAGACCTCTGTTTATGTCTTCAAAAGTGTGTCGGCTGGGGAGCTTATGCTTTGAAAAGAATGATTGAGGATGCAGGATCTCATTTAGGGACAAGTTCTGAAGAGGTTCACGTGTTAGCTACGAATAAAGGACCCTTCAACGAGGGGGAAGATGTCTCAGAACGTGCAGAGTCTCCGACTGAAGCTGTTGATGCTGTGAATGTACCACTCGAAGCACTCAGACACGATGGTAAGTTGTGTCATAACTGAATTTGTCAGTGTTCAAATTGCAGGCTTTTGTTCCCAACGTAAACCCCAGAGCCTTTTCCCTCCTTTGCAGCTGGTTAAGAACGAGTGCAACTCCTATCATGTTTTAAATATTTTTTATGATACTATGTTGTCTTGGGTTTGTTCTTCAATTAGAACTTCTGGGACCAATGGAAAACCAGGATGCATCCAATGTGCAAGACGAGCAAGAGATACTAAAACTCGAGGAACGTGCCGTTGTACTTGCCTTGCGAGACGCATTTATGCCTGGTTTGGACGGGAGTGATGCCGTCATGTTCGCCACTCTGTTAGCAGATCTGTTCCCCAACGTTCAGGTTCCAATGATCTTTGAAAGTTACGGCTCGGAAGGGACTAAGATGCAAATGAATGAGCAAGTGAGCAACTTAGAGGAGATTCCTGTGCTCTCCAAGACTGGTGAACTCGGTGTAAATAATGCGGAAGGTGCGTAGATAATATAATGTGGCAAATCAAATAATCTAGTTGTGGTAATCAAATATATTAGATAGAGATCACCAATATCTTAGCGATTGAACTTTTAACTTAATACCACAACTATTTCATTATATTCATCACACTCATTTTCTCTTTATTTTTATTTATTTACTTGTCACAGCATGAATTTATATGGGATAAAAATGGAATTGTAGTTTTTATTGATTATATGTTGACTGGACCAACTCATGTAATATAAGGAGGGCCACGGGTTTGTCAGTCTATGACTGTAAAGTGTTTACCCTCGTTAAATTTATTTGTTTATTTATTTATTTGTATATTTATTTACACAAAAAATTAAATAAATTAAACAAGAGGAAAGAGTCGAAGGATATTATTTGTCCAGCACGTAGCCAACTACAAGTACATTGGCTACGATGTGGAATACTTTGAACCCCAAGAATTCATTGTCAGAGTAATATCATACGGTTGAAATCAAAGAACATTAAACTAACGTACAAACTCCTAAATACATACGTTGGCTCTAAATTGATAAGTTTTGTCTTGTGTTTTCAGTGCTGAGTGATATGCAATCTGCTATAAAAGTGGCTACGAGCAAACTTGGTCTGCAACCCGGTGCTGCTTTTCAAGCCAGAGTGGCTCAGTTGGCCGAGCTTGTCAAAGCGCACAAGCTGGTGAGTTATACTTTTTAATATTTGTTGGTTTGTGATGATTTGAAGCGGTTGGAACGAGCTTGTGCGCGTTCTTCTACTACTCTCTTCCTGCGTCACCATGTCTGTATTTTCAGTTAAAACATTTATCCTAACATTTTAATATTTGTTATTTGCAATCTTTTTTAATCTTCTCCATCCTTAATTTTACACTTTTCGTTTTGGTTTCTCGTTAGTGCTCGTTTTCGCCAGGAATCTATTATTGTTAGGCACATTTGGTAATAAATGAAGAAGGGTGGTAAATGTTTTAAGCTCGGTCGTCTAATAAAGAAAGACGTGATTCATTTGTCACGAGCATGTGACGACGAGGATTCCAACCTCACACCTTTATATATAGCGTTTCGGTGCTCTAACACTGAGCTACAGAGGACTGCAGCGAACTCTTTCGTGACGAATACTTTATGAAGCAATCGCGGAAAATACTGCGTACACAACTATACAAATGTACATAATTTTCACTTTATTTCAGCGCCAGACATTATGACTTACCTGCTTTAAATCCTCCTAGAGTCAAATAAAGCCGTCACAAACTAATCTGTGTCAATTTGACCACTTGGCTAGCTACTCACAAGCAAAAAGATCAAACTAAGATCACTATAGCAAAGACACAAACTTGTTTAATAAACCTTCTTGTTATCTCAGGTGTGTATAACTGGACCAAGTGGGTGTGGGAAGACCGAGTGCATCAGGACCTTGGGTGCGGCTCACAGAGAGATGGGACACTTAGTGAAGACAGACATAGTGTGCACAGAGGCTGTAGAGTCTGAGGAGCTACTTGGATATGTAGACCCTGAAACTAGGTGTGTAACGGTGGGAGGGGGGGGGAGAGGGAAGGGGGAATGGATGATTGCGATAGTGAAACCCATTAAACGTGGTTGGCTTGTCGTTTCATAAAGTTTTCGATGCACGGCGTAGTACCCAGTTAAGGCGAAAGCTTGGCGCAGTTCCATTGTACTCTTGAAACGATACAGAGTGCGTTTGTTTCAGCGATGTTCTCGCTTAACTCTTAAATCTTTGTTTCTTTGATCTTTCGTTGCAAAGAGAATAAATCTAGACCTACAATGTAGGTTTAGATTTTCAAAAACATCACTGGTATACAACAGCTCTTTTCAAAGTTAGATACCTTCTGGAAGAACGGAATTCTAGAAATAAGATAAACACTCTTTTATTTTTTTTATCCAGGGAATGGCGAGATGGTGTATTGACTGTGTTACTTAGACGACAGGCTCAGCAACTTCGTCTCCAGGAGACAGAGAGCAAATCTGCGGGAAAGCCTTTGATGAAATGGCTTCACTTGGACGGGACGGTAATGTACCCACCATGAATTATTAAGTTATTTCAACAGAACTATTACTTACCAACGATTTGTTTAATTTCTTCTTACTGCAGATCGATCCATTGCAAATGGAATTGTTTGGTTCAGTCGTACAGAATACAGGTTAGTGTTTCCGGTCGTTGATTTGCTGCGATGAGGCAATCGAGTAATTTGATTTTCAACTGTGTGTCTCCACCTGTCCAGGATTGTATTAATGTTGCTCTGTTATGTTCTGTGATTGATTTAAGAAACTTGCACCAAACCCTCGGCCAACCTGATCCCAAACGAAAACCAATAGCGACTTGGTCTCTCACCTTTCCCTGAACATCAGGCAGCTTGCTCCTTTTAGTTATTTCCTTTACCTCTTTGTTACATTTTCCTCTTTTCCATATGACTTTTTGCAGTACTTTGGTTGTTTTTTTACAACAATCAATTGAAACGCGCTCTCTGCACAGTTCGAGCTTTGTTTATGTTTATGTGATTTTATCAACTTGTTTGAGCTTCGACGTTTTAGTTTGTGGAAATATTTTAGAATAATTCCTCTAGATCATCATCAGTAATTATTCATCTATAATTATTTACAGGAACGGTAGTTATTGGCAACAACGAACGAATTAAAATTCCAGATGCTTTGCTTATCGTTTGGGAAGTAAGAATGTTTTTTAAGTTTTATTTTCAGTCAACAACTCTTGATTAATACTCGTGAAAACCAAATTAGACTTTGTTATTAAATATCCCTTTGACTTTCCATTAAAGCTGGAAACTCTAGAGAATCTCAGTCCAGCGGTACTCTCCTCCGTGGGCATGCTCTGTATGAACACTTCCGATGTCAATTGGCCACTTTTGGTTGACCGTTGGCTCGCCAAACGCTCCGAACGCGAGGCAGATCCGTTGAGAGAGCTTTGTGATCGCTATATTGGTCCAACATTGGCGTACCTGGCATCCAAAACATCGGTCCCACCTATTTCAGGAGTACCACCAACACAAAACAAGCCTTCAAAGTTGCGTCACGTGGTACCTGTAAGCGAGATGGGTATGGTGAACACTCTGCTGACTTTAGTAGAGGTAGGCCTGTGAGTTGTGTGCATTGGTAAAATTTTTTATTATCAGGTTGGGAAATAAGAACTTTGTGGTACTTTATTTTTAAAGTATATCCCTGTGGTTCAGTATGAAGAGCCATCGAGAATTGGTACTCTTGGTGGACAGGATGTTAGTACGGTTGTAAAGTATTCGTAGCACCTCATTGGTACACATCGTACTCGGGGGAGGGGGAGGGAGGAGGAAGGGGCACTGTGAAAGATAAAGGAAATTTTCCTTTGTACAAAACTAGCAAATCAAGTCACGGTATAAATTTATTTTAAAGGATTGACCTGAATCACATATGTTGATCGATCTTGATAGCAATAACATGCCGAGAACTCTGTTTTGTTCCTCTCACAGTTAGCCTTCATTGAAATAATAATCTAGGAGAGTCTTTTTCAGGGGTTTAGATTTGAAGCCCAGAGCTTCCAGTGTGTATGAGGATTGACAGCGAGAAATTTATAGTTTCACTTCAGCTACTTTCGGCATGTCGATCTGTATTTTGTAGGCAATCATATCAAACTATTCAGACTTGATGCTACCAGAGCTTGAAAATTATTTCTGCTACTCTGCCATGTGGGCGTTTGGTGGCACGTTAGTGGAAGAACATCGTCCATTTTTCAGTCAGTGGTGGAGAGAAAAGTGGAAAGATTATGTGATGCTCCCTGGAGACGAAGAGGTTGGTGATCAATTTATTCGTGCTCACCCTCTAAGTAGTAACAACTAGTAAACTCAACAAGAGCCTGGGAAATAACTTTAAATTGATAAGAAATGGAGGCAGCAGCAACACATACGTATATTTTACCTATTTATGCAAGTTCTAAGAATTCTTCAAATCATTCCCCTTCGCAGCGTATGAGTTTAATTCACTCACCCCGTTAAATTAATGCATTGTTGAGGTTAGATATGTTAGAAGTTACCGAAACGAGGGCTTCGGAGAGAACTTTGTATTGATAAGCAGTGGAGGCAGTGGCCACACTTTCATGTATTAAGGCTGTTTATGCAAGCTCTCAGAATTTGTTATCATCAAACACGCTCAGTATTTTTAGAAGTTACCGAAACGAGGGCTTCGGAGAGAACTTTGTATTGATAAGCAGTGGAGGCAGTGGCCACACTTTCATGTATTAAGGCTGTTTATGCAAGCTCTCAGAATTTGTTACCATCAAACACGCTCAGTATTTTTAGAAGTTACCGAAACGAGGGCTTCGGAGAGAACTTTGTATTGATAAGCAGTGGAGGCAGTGGCCACACTTTCATGTATTAAGGCTGTTTATGCAAGCTCTCAGAATTTGTTACCATCAAACACGCTCAGTATTTTTAGAAGTTACCGAAACGAGGGCTTCGGAGAGAACTTTGTATTGATAAGCAGTGGAGGCAGTGGCCACACTTTCATGTATTAGGGCTGTTTATGCAAGCTCTCAGAATTTGTTATCATCAAACACGCTCAGTATTTCAAGTCGCCCCATAAGGCTCAGTGTGAAAGTTATTTTCTTTTCCATTTGAAGTTATGCACTTTTGAGGTTGGGTGTAACCGAAATTTTCGACAGCCATTATGTTAACTCTGTCTTTCAGGGCTGCTAACTTGTTAGTTCACTTTTTAATCATTTTATTTTTTCATCTTCAACATCCAGCGCCACCTCCAATGTTGCCCTAGTGTGCTTTCTGCGGCTGCACAGAGCATATTTGCCTTCCTGTCATTGGTCTGAACCAAATATAGCAAATACCTGATAAACTCTCATTAGTGGCGTACTCTCTTTGTTCTAACAGGTGTGGAATTACTACGTGTTTCCCGAGACTCACGAATTCCTCAGCTGGGCCGACTCAGTTCCTCCTTACTCACAGACAGCAGCTGAAGGCATTCCTAATGAAGCATATGTTCACACGATACAGAATGAGGTCAGAATTATGCTCATTTTGTCTTATTTAGGCTAAATAGGAATTTTGGTCCACATCAAATTGCGTACAGTTTGAAAGAATTTAACTCCTTAATTTGTTAACAGCGTATTTCTCACCTTGTTGGTTTGCTGAGCGATGGCGGAAAACCGGTTTTACTGGTTGGCGAAGCCGGTTGCGGAAAGACATCCATCTTACGTCATCGAATCAAACAACATGGTGGAGATATTGGTGAGGTTTTAAGCTTGACAGTGTTTTGTAATAAGTTCACCACATCCAGAAGCTTGTGGAAAGAACTGTCATCTTGCCTGGAATGGAAACACGCCAGAACTTTCGTACCGAAAGGAAACAAGAGGTTAACTTGTCTGATTGACGATCTTAATCTGAGCAGGGTAAGTTAACCACTATATTTGGGAATTTCTGAACTTTCAGTATAGGTCCATCTGAAGACTGCAGCCGTGTGATTTAGGAGATCCAAAATTTAGTGACTAGGTTGAAAAAAAATCGTCACAGAAACATTTCTAGACTTATTCGGCCATACTCCGCCCTTGAATCATGCTATTGGGCCTGTTAAAACTCTATTTTGTCGTTGTCCCCCATAACGTCAGTGTAAGTCTTTTTCTTTTACGTTGCCGTTTTTTCGTGAAGTTGCAATGGGAAACTCTTGCTTGATTTAGTTATTAGCATAAAGAAAAGCAAATTTCCCTTACATCATTTGAAAGCTCGTAATCTTCGTTATTTTGTTTCGTCTCGTAGGCAAACAATTTTGGTGCCCAGACCGCTCAGCAGTTAGTTCGCCAACACATTGATCATGGCGGCGTTATTGACCCGGAAACCCACCAATGGCGGGAAATACATGACGTCACTTACCTGTCATCATACAATCCACAAACTCCGCCTACAACAGCTCGACTAAACAGGCGACTGTTGCGTCACTTTGCGCTGTTCAACGTCACGTTCCCTAAGTAAGTAGTTTAGAGGGGTTTCAGATTAACTGCGCTGTAATCATGACGAGATAAGCCCCAGTGAAAAGCCTCATGAAGATTACCTCCGTTTTCGTGTCAAGTCCCTATATTAGGTGTGTTAAATACCAGTGATCTTGAAAAGAAGACGAAGCCCTAATCTCTGGTTTTCTTGGTTAATAGCATCGTAACATTTGAGCCTAACGTAATGAATTTTAATTTCCTCTTTCAGCCAAGATGAACTGCACCATATCTACACTCAACAGCTTGAGAAACACTTTATAATTCATGTAACTCAGTCCCAGCACACAACTAACGACAATGCATCACAAGAAGCTGCTGAGGGTCATTCCCAACACCACGGGACCGGTGACCACGACAAGGCCATCCGGGATCTATTGTCTGACGTTAGTCACGTGACGGTAGAGCTCCAGGATCACCTGCGGGGCATGTTTCTGCCCACGTCACAGAGATGTCACTACATGTTTACCATGACGGATTTGACCATGGTGTTCAGGTGTGGAATTATAGAGACTCTCCTGTAGAAGGATAGATCGAACTAAGAGACTGAGTCTCTTTTTGTCTAAAAGGAAAACCAGAGTAACCTCCACGGCCAAGGAAATTTCTAAAGGGGCCAGTGAACACATAAAGTAAAAACACGCAATTTTTTTGAAGCGCGGGAGGGAGCGTGTGACTAAATGACGTTTGGTTTTAGTTCTGTATCTGATTGATTGAGAGAATTGCGCAAGTTTTCTTGCCCAATCACAGTGCAAAGGAAAAAAACAAAATCTCATGTTAGATTTCAGTTTCCAGAAATTCTGGGAGGACCTTGAAATAACTAAAACGTAAAGAACGTTGTTATTCGTTTTTTCATGAGCGAGAGAGAAAGACTGAATCTGAGGCCCCCTTTGGATTCACACCCTAGAACTTGGACTCCCCATTATTGCCCCACGCGCATGACAAGGCGGTAGAAATCCTTTCCTTTTCTTAACTTCGCTCAAAATTTGCTAAAAAAATTCATATTTGGTAACTTAGCTAAAGTGGAAAACCCATACGGCCTTAGTAGAAATTGAAATTGCGGAGAAAAAGTTCTTAAATTTCTTAGGTTTTTTTCTGTACAGAAACCTTTGCCTTACATTACGCCCGGGTTGCGCTTCTCAAGACCTCTTGTTACTATGGAAACATGAATGTGACTGGATCTACGGGCGCCGTTTGATTGACTCAGTCGACAAGGAGAGATTTCAACAGACATTCCTGAATGCTGCTAAAAAACGCTTTACTGAGGACGAACAGGTATGTATGAAAGTTTTTGTACGCCATGAATAGATTAGTTCATGTATTTAGTTCTTTTTATTGATATGTATGAATGGTTTCTGTTTTTTTGTGGAAGTTTACAGACTTTGTTCTCGTATCGATCCCAATTTGAATATTTTGTCATTATCCTGTTTCGCTCGTGTCTATTCGGTTTTCTTTCATGATTCCGCGCGGTCATTCTTTACTTCATGTTCGTTTGTTCGACTGGTCGGCCGGACCTTCGGTCCTTCTCCGGCGCATTCTAATTTTGATCTGTTCGTTCGTTCTTTAGTCTGTGCGTAATTTTGCAATATGTATTCTTAAATCTGTCGATTGCCTCTACTTTCTTTTAGCTGTCGATTGTGACCAGCCCCACGCCTTTCTTCACGAACCTAGTGGATTCTGAAGAAAGCACGGGTGAGGTGATTGGTGCTGGATCGTCGGAAGGTGCCGAAGATGACGTACATTTGTCGTATAGAAACGTCTCCGATATGGCAAAGGTGGGTCATCCTTTCATGAATAGGCAAGAGGAGTGTTGTAAGCTTGAACTCTAGTTCTCTGCAAAGTACATTCGGTCGCTATTGGATGGTTAATTATTGATGAAATAGCATATCTACGAAGTGACCTTCTTTCTTCTCGCGGATGGACTGCAATTGAAGCAATTGCAGCAAAGAAGCCTGAAAAAATTCCGGCTTCGACGGGATTCGAACCCATGCCTCTCAGGTAATACTGGGCTAAGAAGAAACGTGGGGAGTTTCTGAGTTGAGAGTATTTAAGTCTGAATTTGGAGTGGTGGTTTTTGTGGAGGGGTAAAACTAGACAACTGAAAGGAAGCCTTCAGAGCAAGGTCGAAAATCAACAACCAACTCAGCCCACAAGTGACCCCAGGCTCAGGACCCAAACCATTATGCTTAACTTGTTATCTTAGAAAGAAACCGAGGATGTCGCTATTGGTTAGCTTTCTATGTTTCTGCTAAATGAGAGTTATCAATGTTCTCAACGGCATTTTTTTTGTGTTGTTTAGGTTCAAGCTGTGTTGGAGCACGGGATTGATGAATATAACAAGGACTTTCCAAGACTTAAAATTACTCTTTATGAGGTGAAGTTCCCTTTTAGATGCATCTTTTGTCTCTCTGCCTAATTCACAATGACTGGTTATATCAATGCCGAAGGCTTTAGTAGGAAATTTTGAATGTTAAATATTTTTCAAAGTCTTCTTCTTTAATCACGCATTCTTTCTTTATTAGCCATTGGTAGTGACTGTCAAGTTTTTCTCGTTGACAGGATGTGATGGAAACCATCTGCCGCCTGGTCAGAGTTCTCCAGAGCCCCCATGAATGTGGTCACGCCCTGTTGATATCACAGGGTTCTCCTGGTATGAGTACAAACTTGGCCCAGCTCGCAGCTCATCTGTGTGGTTACTCTGTGTTCAGAATCAACTCCTCAGCTCTGACGACCTCTGAAAGATACACACTGGACAGTTTCAAGGGAGATTTGGTGTCGGCTTACACAAGGGCAGGTGTCAAGGTGATCACCAGCTACCAGTTCAATTCAATACCAACATTGAAATCGCTACGCTAAGAGTTCAGAATTTCTAACCAAAATAACCCTTTTTAATGCCTTTTGTAGGGTGAACATTTAATGCTGTTGTTACCGGAGTCAGATTTGACTGACGAAGACTTCCTTGTTCATGTTAGCGAGTTCCTAGTGTCCTCCTCAATATCGCATCTCTTTACCGAGGAAGAACAGACGTCAGTTATCAACGCTGTCAGAACTGAAGTCACGCAGGCCGGTCTGGCGTACACACGAGATGTCGCGTGGGATTTCTTCCTCAAGTAAGCTCTACGCTGCTTTTTTTGTGTCTCGAAACATGTTTTGGGAAGTGTATCTCGTTAAGATCTCAATGTTACTGGTTGTGAACCGATGTTTAAAGAATCTTTACAGATAGTCAGAACTGCCAGGATTGATCCTATGACATCGCGGTGTGATGCTTAAACCAACTTAGCTATGAAGGCCAAAGCGTCCATGGGATAAAATAGAACATTTCATCGAAAACGCGTTACCAGCTGCTGTTCTAACCTGAAATACTTTAACTTCTCTTCCCCAGGACCGTCAGAGAAAACCTCCGTGTTATTCTGACCGTGTCATCACTGGGACCAAGGTTTCAGAAGCGCTGCCGTGATTTTCCTTCCTTAATGAACACAGTGTCCATCATCCTCTTACCCCACTGGTCTAAGGAAGCGTTGGTGACGCATGCGTATCATGTCCTCAAAGGTAACTTCATTCATGCTTTACATGTTAACTACTCCAAAATGCAAGGCGTGGCTCCTGCTTACTTATATACGCCTCTGATTGGTGTGTGATGATACATGATCATTTTTGTCATTCCCTCTAGATGTCGAGACTTTCTCACCAGTGCAGACAGAAAATTTAGCCCACTTGCTGGCTTCCATGCACTTGTCCATAAAACAACAGGATTCTGGCGAAGAACAGTGTGGAACATACGGACATATTACCAATACGGGATTTGAAGTCTTTGTAGAGAGGTAACCAGCCTTTTTAAAGCTAATTTTGCGAAATTTTTATTTGCTTTCTCAGGTGAGAATAAAAAAATCGATTGAAGCCATGACCTTCAGAGGTGAGCTGCAATTTAAGCGATTGCAGAAGATAAGCCTGAAAAAAATCCAGGCTTCGATAAGATTCGAACCGAGGCCTCCTAGATACTAGTCGGGTGCTATTACCAACTGAGCTATGGAGCCACATGTTGAACAGGAGCTCATTGTATTAGGGTAAAAAATAGCTACAATAACTCAAGGCTGAAAGAGGCACTCAGTGTAACTTTAACTCTAAAAAATGTGTTCAATGTCACGAGAATCAATGTTAGTAACCCAGAGGCCAAAAGGTACAAGAGCAAAATACTTTCAACGTTGTTTTGAACGATTCTTTTTTCCAGGTTTGTATGTTTGATCAAAAAGCGCCAACAAGTTTTACGAAGCGAACATGAACAAATGGCGGCAGCTCTTCAGACTATCGAACGAGGAACACAGCTGGCAGAACAACTGAAGACACAGCTTGGACATGAAAAGATGGTGCTTGAACAGAAGAAAGAGGTTTGTTCCCACCGAATGTAAATTCAGCTCGAAATTTCACTTTTTCGTTCGTTCTGCCACCGCTTCTGCGACTTAACTTTAACAAACCAACAATTAAATATTATGAAAGTTGGACAGTTCTAACTTATGATTGAAGAAATAGGCAGTTGCTGTACAACTGACGAAAAATTCAACTCTGTATAAGCAACACTTCGTCAACCATTTGTCAGTGTCTGTAGCTTCTGAAACTCGAATACATATGTCCCGTTTGAAGTGTGTTGGTTAGACCGGCCTTCAACTTCATGCTATTGCTCTCAGCTTTCGTTTGGCTTTGATTTAATTGTAATTATTTTCGTTTCTATCTTTTCAGGGAAATCTTCAGTTACTGCTGCAGATTGGTCAGGTAACAGAGAGTACTTCGAAAATGCGATTTTATTTATTGAACAGCGTTAGTAAATTGTATGGGCCCTGGGAGCTTTTTGTATGATAAAGAGAATATGCTTTTTTTTTATTTTTAAGGACAAAGCGATAGCTGAGGAACAAGTTAGACTCGTGAAGCGACAGCAAGAGAGAATACAGAAACTAAAGAAGGTAAATCGATAATTCCAAACGCAGTAGCTACACGTAGTCGTTTTCAAGCGATAGTAAACCAGCTTGACTGTAACTGTTCGTATCGTACGTGAGACTGGGCCCTTTGGAAATAATATTTTCTTAGCTGATAGACAAATCGCTGTTTTTGTAAAGTGGAATAGATACACAAGTGAACGCAAAGGAGCAAAGCAACATTTTTTAACTTGCAATACGTTTGCCAATTTCTCAGCTATCTCCTTTAAGACTTTTAAATTGACGCACAAATCGATATGCAAGTTTGCGAGTCATTTTAGATTTGTGGCGGAGTTGGTTGAGATAATGGGAAGAGTTTATTCGACCATTGATAGAGCCTGACAGAGCAAAACTTAAGTATTCTCGGGTCACTTGGACAATCATAGATCCAAATGAGTTCCGAATGTTCCGCGAAATTAAATCTTTTGTCGTTCCCAGGCTTTACCTGAATACCAAATAGCACATGAGCGAGCGGTGTTCAAGGCTGCTGCTGTCGTGTCTGATACCAAAAGAGTGTTAAAGAACCTCGATGGACAGGGACTGGCAGAATTACGCGCTCTGCAGAAACCAGATAATGAAATTGAAGATCTCTTGGCTGCCATCATCATTATAGGTGAGCATGGCAAGTTTTTGTTTAGTGTAGGGGCCAGCGTACCCTTGGTGAAAATGAATATGACACAACAACTTGCATGCGTCCAGACTCCTTGTATTCTTTTAAACAACGATTTACGTACCAGGATTTATCCGGCGACGATTCGAAATTATTGCTTCTTACAGGAAAGTCTCAAAATCCTTAGCTAAAAACTAAACATGGCGAAAAACGGCAAAAAAACTTCAAACGACGCCCAAGCAACGCACATGGCGTGAGAAACTGCGCCTTAGGTATATTTTCAGCGGCGCTATAGACTGTAAGTAAATTCAACGAATCATACATTTAGCGAAGACGAAAATAATTTTCTGATCCCAACAAAATGCAGAACGTGACTCATTTATGAACCTGGTGATGTCTCAGCTCACCAGGGCATAGGAGCGCAGAATCCGATCCTCTGAAGTTCGATTCGTCATTGGGACGCAGATGTATTTTATTGGTCTCTTTTCATTTTGCAGTGAAATCGCCATCATCTGACTTGACATGGAACAAGGGAGCTAAACGCCTTATGGCCAATTTAGACAGGTGAGGCCGTAAATAATGTTCATGATTTTAATTCTGGGCGCTGAAAGGAAACCTTTTCTGAAATAAGAGGATAACAGCGATCCCCTCACATTGTGGTGGCCTGGGACCGATTTCTGGACCTGGTATCACATACGAGTAAGGATTACTGATTTATCTCGTCCACGGCCCAACGATTTCCCTCTGTTATTTGTAGAAATCCGATTTCAATATTTTAGGCTGATTCAACTACTTAGCGTGTTAAGATGCTATCATTGATGAAAATTATACCTTTATCTTTCATGTATTAATTTTTATGATGTTATTACCTCAATTTCAGGTTTCGGGAGGAACTTGGTGTGTTTGACGAGATGGAACTTACCCCGAGCACGTTAGAAGTGGTGGAACCGTACCTAAAGAAACCTCACTTCATTGGCGATTATCTTGAGAAGAAAACCAGTAACCCTGCAGTTGGATCCCTGTTACAATGGGTCAGAGGAGTAGTCAGGTAAAAGCCAGACACTACAGTGATACCAAATCGTGCATTTACGGTTTTTCTTGAGTAATTTTCAAGATCCTGGCTACCGGAATATAATTTGTCAATATGAAGACGAGTGCGGCAATTTTGTGTGAACCTTGCTGAACTTGGTATCACGTTGCGTATGAAATTGATGACAGATAAATCTTTAAACGTGATATCTTGAAGGAAGAGTCGAGCTTTGAAAACACGAATGCACATATTGATTAACAGGTAATTTAGTATTAACAACTGGGTTGAAAACGTAAATTAGCCACCGTAAAGGGTAAAAAAGCTGACGTTTCGCGCGTTAGCCCTTCGTCAGAGCGCTTTGACGAAGGGCTAACGCTCGAAACGTCAGCTTTTTTACCCTTTACGGTGGCTAATTTACGTTTTCAACCCAGTTGTTAATACTAAATTACCTGCGATACTCTCCCACCGACGCAGCACCACAGTTTCTTTAGAAACTTACCCCTTTACACATATTGATTAAGGATGATTAAAGATATGTTATGAAAATAGGGATGAAATAGATTTAATAAGGGTCACATCATGAGGTGGCTCTTAGTCCATTCGTCTCAGATCGAATTATTGAAAGTAGTTGTTTTAGTTGTCAAGGGAAAAAACCAGCAAAAACTCCCCTGGAGTAAGGCCGAAAGGTAACAACAAACTCACCCCACATATGAACCCGTGACGGACCCAAGAGTCGATCCCTGGGCATAGGTGTCAGAGATCAACGCTTCTTGTGCCGTGCCGTATGCCTGAGTTGCCTTCTCACTCTTATTTCCGTCGATTTCGCGCCTTGGTCAACTCTTCACTGATTGTAGATTGCTTTTTGACACTTCCTTTTCCTTTCAAGATACCATCGGATGATGCAGTCCAAAGTCAAACCGCTTCACGCGAAAGTGTCTGAAACGTCCTCTGCAGTTGAGCTCGCTGTGGGAAAATTGTCCTCTATGGAGAGTAAACTGAAGGACCTTGAAGAACGCTTAAGATCTCTGGCCTTAGCTTACGAGGAGGCGTCCATTGACAAGTGCCGGCAGTACGAGCTCACAGAGACTTTGGACTCGCAGCTGTCCCAAGCAGCTTACTTTGAAGAGGTGAGCTAATTAAATAAACATAATTATATCATGTTTTTGTTGTTATGTTAAACTGTGTTGCCAAACATGTATAACTGTATTACGTTTATTGGTTTGAACTGCTATTTACTTCTTATAGAAATTTGCTTAGTATTAAGCTCGAGCTGGGCCCAAATTTGTCAGATGCTCTACCAACTGAGCCTTAAGGAAATCCTTAGCGAGCAAGGTCTCATACAAGGCTCAAATGTGACAAGCGCACGACATACTCTAAGTATCACCTATTTGTTGGGGAATAGTTTTTTGTTTCTGGAAGATACACTATGGCTTAAAGCAAAGTCCTTTTAGCTCTTTTGGCGGTGTTTGTCTAACATAGAAGCCATCCTTAAGCGGTTTTCTTTATTCACAAGGTGCTCTCAAGTGGTCGTCAAAAATGGCTGCAGCTCCTCGAATCCATCAACACACGTGTAGCGGCTGTTGCAGGTGGCGTGGCCATGGCAGCTGCGTTTGCCACCTACTTAGGCCCCTACTCGTTCAATTTCCGCCGAGATATGTTGACAGTGCACTGGCCCCAGTGTTTGGACGAGCGGGGTGTGATGTTGGTTGTGGACAGCAGTAGTCCGCATGGCGGTGCAGAAATGTTCATGATGGAGCAGTTACGGACCGTGCGAAGCGCTAAAATGACTGAAGGCGGACAGGAAACAGCTGAAGCGCAGCTACAGGAAAATGCAGAAGACGAAGGAAAGGAACAGGAAAATGAAAATAATGGTAAAATATAGGTTAACTTTCTCTCCAACAAGGAAAATCTAAACGTCGCGACACTTCACAACAAAAAAATTATTTTTCAAAGGGCACCTTGATTTCTCCTGGAATCAACTTGTGCCTATTGCTATAACTGGAGCAACTCTAATACACACACAAATAGGTTACTTTGGGATGTAAATTGCTAAAAATCCTGGAAAGGGGACAAAGCTGTCGGAGGAGTTCAACCCGATTGTATGGAAAAACAATTTTAATTTATTGGTAAAGTAGAATTTTTGGCCCGAGGACCTAGCGCCACCCCGCCAAGCCGCCTTACTGAGTCATAAGAATCCTGTTGTGTTTTTTAATAGGTGAGAATACAAACGATACTCAACCAGAAAGTGACCACGAAAGACCACACAGCGCAGAAATAGAAAAGCAAGACGTAGAACAAAGCGAGAAAGAGGACAGTGGACCGCAAGCGCAACAAGAAGGCGAATCAGAGGAGTACATGATGTCTGTCGGTAGAGATCAAGCTTTGCGTCGAACAAAATTAACAGAATATGATTCATTTGTTTTAGCTGTGCTCAAGCTTTTATTGGGCGAAAATCATGTGCGGAGGCTAGTCACTAAAGGAATGGGACCAAGAAAAATCGAGAATGCGGTCTTGTCTAAGTCGTCATGGCAACGTGTCCCTCTGCTCGTGGACCCTTACGATAAGGGACTTGAGCTGATTAGGATCATCGAGGATGGGGAGAACTTGCTGGAGATTGATTTGGCAGAGAGGTATGCAAACAGAATTTAGTTTGAGAATGTGAAAAGCAAGAACATCTTATACAAGGAATTCCCTTGGCCCAGTAGTGGTCGAATTGCATAAAGTAACTCAGATTATATTTTGTAAATACGTTCAATTTTTCAGTATTCGCTGGAACAAAGGGTATACTTTAAATCCTCGCAGTTTAAAGAAGTTAAGTTGTCGATCTTTAATTTCATAGTCACGTTATATTTCCGTACTAGTAGCGGGTCGCTATATAAACTTTTAAAGTATTTTGTGCACGAATGAATCACCCAAAATGGTTGGCTTTCTTACCGTCAAACAGATACATTTGTAGAGGATTGCAATGAAGCCCTAACGTGGAAGCTTATGCTTTGCCTATTGATTATCAGTCGTTTTTTTCCCCCCTTTAGTGATCCTTCTGCGATTCTGAAGATTGAAAAGGCGATAACAAGTGGTACAGCCCTGGTGTTGTATAATATCGATGGCGATATTGACTCGCTGTTCATGCCTCTTATTTATCACAACACTACATCTATCAGTGAAGAGACAGAAAAAGGTTTGACATAATACACATATTTGGTACTTGTGCTTTGCATTTAGAGAATTTTTCAGTTTTTCTAAACCGTGATTTGTTCTTGGTGTGGTTTCTTTAAGTACTAGATCCTAGCCGTGAGAACACATCGTTTCATTAGAGATATATAGTTTTTCTTTTGGACGAGATATCCATAGTTTGGTAGTGTAATCGTAGTGCACTCTCTAGTGTTGATAAAATGTAATTAATATCCACCACTTAAAAGGAATACAGATTTCACAGCACAATAGCCAACCAACAAAGGTATGCAATACACATATCCGAGTTTCCATAGACTCTGTTTGAAAAGGAACGCAAGGAAAAAGCCTCCAATATGGAAATAATTAAAATTCGTCGTTCTCATCCAAACGAAACTCATTTTCACACGAAAGGTTTTACTCTGGGCCTCATTTTGAAAAGAGGGGTTTTGATATCCCGGTTCATAATATTTACTTGGTGCATTTTGAATTTTTTCTTCGTGTTCTTTCCTGATAGTTTTTAGCCTGGTATCCTTTAATTAATTTTGAAGTTTTAAAATAATTCATTTCACTTGCTTGCTTCCAGCTTTCCAGATGGTAAAGTTCGGTTCCCGTCGCGTCATGTGTCACCCGGAGTTCCGCTTATACCTGGTATCCAGATCCTCTCGACCGGCCTTCAGCACGGAAGTGTCTTCAATCACGACTATGGTGAACTTGCGCTTGGACGGGGAGGCCTTAGCCGAGGAGATCCGGATCGAGGCTTTTCACCGCGTACAGCCTGAACTTTACGTTGAGAGCCGCAAAAGCTTGATGGTAATGATGGAGTTGTTGAGGCTACTAGAGAACATCGATGGCAAGTTGATGGGACTGGTCACAGAACGGCAAGGGACAGACATATGGGAGGAAACTGAGATCATAGCTGAACTGGTCAAATGTAGGAGTGAGGTGAGTGTTAGTTTTGGCTTGTTAGACTGGGCACCATAGCGTGTGGCCGCTTTATCACTTTCATTAGGAGTGCTTTTCTGGAAGAATAGTCCATTTTATCAGTGTAAGCTTTTAAGAGAGCTGAGGATCGCACAGAACTTTAATTTCATACGTAGCTTTGTGCGTTTCCTTTGATAAACTCTCTCAAAATTGAAATCGCATTGAGTCGCATCAAATTAAAGGCATGGGTTACAAAGAGATAACATTTTGACTTCAGTTACGTGCTTCCTTTTGTCGCTCCAGGTTGCTCAACGTCTGACTCACACCTTGAACAACTTTAACAGACTTAAGAGTCTGCGCGAACTTTTCCAACCGCTGGCCAAGCGTGCGGTGATGATGTTCTCCTTGTTGAGCTCCCTATCCAGTGTACAACATGAGTACCGCTTTTCCCTGGGGTACTTCCTGTCCCTGTTCCGCTCGGCAATCGGACGGGATGTAGAGCCATCCAAAGAGAGACTTGAATACGAATCGGACGATGAAGAAACCAAAGGAACTAAGGAAGAATCACGAACTGCCGTATTGATCAAGGCAATTGAAAAGGAAGGAACAGACACACCTGTCCAGGGTATGTCGTGCTCCTCAAAACGTTCATTCAAAGCTAGAGCTAAACGAAGTTATCATCATCATTATTTTTTATTTGCCCTTTTAACAGTTTAAATGGGAAAGGTCACCTCACACTCAACAATATATTTTTAAAAAATCAGTGCTGCGAATGTGCTGCTTGGCCAATTCAATGATAATTTAAGTAAAAACTCTTGCATTTTCGTCTTACAACTAAAAAGACTTGACGAACGAGTGACCGAAACAGGAAGAGAGTTCTTAATTTTTAGGACCTTGGTAGAAAATTGTGAATTGCTTGAGATTAGTACGATACAAATTCGTTCGTTAATTACTGGCTGTTCGGTGAATTTAGAATCTTAGAACTTTACGAAGTTGTTGAAACTGTTATCTTTGCAACGTACCAATATTATTATGGGGACAAGTGATACATTGATTGTGACTAATAGGGAAACCACTCAAAGTAATCTAAGGAAGACATCGTATCTGAAGGCTTTCCTTCTCTTGGTGAGCACAGGGTTGAATATTTCGAAGTAATTCCATTTCAAGTTCAGATTGATACTAAAATATGTTCGTTTATTGGCAAGGGCAAAAGAGGTAAATTTGAGGAACAGTTCTAGCTCCTAAGCTCTTGCGGCAATAGTATTACAAATTACTTATTAATTTCTTTCACTCCATAGGTGAAGGAGAGCGAAGTTCTTCTCGTAAGAGATTACGGAAGCGAATGTCTGTTGTCCTGCCAGCTGAAGTACAGCTGCCTTCTCCTGGCGTAGAATATACAGCACTCAGTTCCGAACAGAGTGATCAGCTCACGGACTCACTCAGTCAGTCATTTTATCGCCATGTTAGCAGGTAATAGTTCTTGTAAGCGGCAAATCACTAAAAATAAATGGACATTCGCGAAGATTCTTCTATCACGTTGCAAAACGGAAGATTTTTAAGAAATGGTTGATTCAAACTTGTAAACTCTGTAGAAAATTCTCCCTTATTTTTTTCATTTGTTCCCCAATTTCGAAAAAGAGCAGGAATAAAGAAGTTACAATGATAACTTTGTTGGTATTTTCTCTCTCAGGAGCATAGACCAAGATCACCGTCTTTTGTTCGCCTCTTTGCTCACTCTCTACAAAATGGAAAAACGTGCTGAAGGCGGACCAACACAACAAGAAATCTCACTCCTACTCTCAGGTAAGACCATATGGAACGTCTCTTACCAGGATCTCACTCCTAAACTAACCTCCCCGTCCCCTTCTATTTTTAGGCACGATTCCATCCCCAGTCCCTGCACTATCAGACTTCGATCCCACTCTCCTTCAACCGAGCTGGATCCCGAAAGAGTCCTGGGAGCTGGTTCTTGCCGTCTCTAATCTTAAGGGTCCTTTGGACGGTATCTGTACTCACATTGCGTCTAAGCCTGGCCCATGGAGGGACTGGTACGAAAACGAGCGGCCTGAGACGAGGCAGCTGCCTATAGAAACTGGAGACACAGACGACGCCACTTCCTTGAGTGCAATTCATAAACTGTTGATGATTCGCTGCTTGCGATCCGACAGATTCGAGCGTGCTATGCGTATACTTGTGGAGAGTGAAGTTGGAGACTTGATGGAGAGAGCTCTTCCGAATTTTGATGAAGTCCTTTCCAGTATTAAGCACTCGATTCCAGTTTTTGTACTGATGCCAGACCACTCGACCGTGAATACGCCGTTCATGATTTCTCCAGTCGACAGCATACGGCGGATGGCCGAGGTAACACTCGTTATACTGATTGTGATGGCTGTGTCAATTGAGGTGCTGTGGTTCTCTTTCGTTCGGTGGTTCAAACTGGTCGGTTTTTTTACTTTCCTATATCTTAATGCATTATCGAATGCTGGAAGAAAGGGAATACTATCCTAGAGGCTTTCGAAAAGTTTCGATAAAGAATTTAATATGAAACACGACAAACCCATAGTACCCAAGCTTTTCCAGATTGATTGGAGGACATTTTCCTAGTGGAAGGTTTTCGTTCAAATGGCACGTCTGCGACTCCAAAAAACTACTCCAACAAAAGCGAAACACTTTCGCCAATTCATGAAGAATCAGTGGACACGAAGAAAAAAAAAATCATACTCATTTTTTTGGTTTTCTTTTTTTAATAACTGTTTCATTGTCAACTTTCAATGCCACCGCTTAAAACAGGATTTGCAGATAGTTATTACAACAGTGTTTATCGCGTCGCTCCCATTGCATTCTTTTCTTTACTCTCAACAAACCTGACAGAGCTAAGGAAACTTTAACTGTCAAAAGGTGCGGACTAAACGCAGAGACCCACTGTAGGGACTCGTCGTTATTTATCGCTCGTTGGGGTGGTGGAGGATTCTAAAGGGGATCACAGGTCTTCAGGGGCAATAGAGGGGTGATCAGTCCTCGCCAAGAGAGTGTAAAGGGGGGCCATAAACAATTTGTTTCCAATAGGGGGGGGGGTTGTATGAGTATTACAGGGCCTTAGAGGGGATCAGGTAAATTTTATCGTAATGCAACCAAAAGCCTCTAAATTCACCCCCACCCCGGTGGCAAATAATTACTGGTTCCTTAGCTAAGAGAGTTTCAACTTGATTCTTTAATAACTTACGGTCGATTTAAACACGTTCTTAACTCCACCAGAGAAACTACAGCTGTCCCTGTAACGAACAAAACTTCTCGCCTTTTAATATTTCAGGCTCACAATGTGCAGTGTCAGCAGATATCTGTGGGACACGGACAGGAAGAAAGCATTGATGTTGCCTTAGCAACCGCCGTCCGGACTGATACGTGGTTGGTGATTGAGAACCTTCAACTGGCTTCCCGCCACTGGTTAGAGCAACTCTACAATCGTCTTTCCAGACTTCAGTTACAAGCGGGTGCGTTGAATTTTTAACGTAGATCTCACGACCTTTGATATAGAAACACTACACCTGCTAAACACAGCGTTGAAGATATCCAATGTACCTTAAGAGAAGTACATTGATTCTTGTAATCATGTAGCTTGTGTCTTCTGACAATGTTTTGAAGGAATTTCTGACTTTCAAGGTAACTGCTATTTGATCTCTAAGATGTTAAAGGAAGTAACCCTCTGACAGCAACCCTGTTTGATTATCTCTTTCTTCTCTCTTCAGAGACTTCTTCGGCTCCGTCCCAATGGCGAATTTTCCTTCTCTGTGAGCCTGCGGATCACTTACCAGTGGGACTTCTGTTGTTCTCGCACCAGTTGGCCTGGGACGTGGTCCAAAGAGAAGTTCCTGTGTATCAGCCCCTGGCATCTACCGGCCTGGACTTGAAGAAAGTCATCACCTCCACACTTGAGGTATGGTGAAAAATTTTTCATATACACAAAGCATTATACAAAGATCGTTTGCTGAATATTCTTGTCTGTGTTTTTTAAAATTTTTTTTTATTTTTATTTTAACAGGCCGTTCCTCAGGCCTACTGGGAACAAGCTCGTGACCAGTCCCTCGCAGTTCGTTCAACTCTGTTTGGTCTGTGCGTCAATCACAGCGCTCTGCTCATGCGCCATCAGCTGGGAACGCGAGCATCCAGCCGACGATATCCTATTTCAACACGTGATTTACTGACGTCGTTTGAGATGGTGATTGGTTGGGCCAAAAAGGAAGAGGGATTAAGAGCGTCACAGTCGAAGGCGCTTTCAGATGTCATATCCAGGGTAAGATTTTGGGAATTATTAAACAATTCGAAACCTATCGATAAGGACTTTCTTTCAACGCGAATCTGGTATTAAGTCAACTCCCAGTCTAAGAAATGAATTATAAGTTTTGTATTGAAACTGTTATGCAGCATCGGCTGGTTTGAGGAATACTTCAATTCATGGGGCAGATAATAAAGGTTATTTAAATGCTGCAACGAGCTGATATTTTAAACATTCGCCATGTACTTGAACAATCGCTAACGTTCGTAACACGAGCTAATGTGGTACTGAATTAGCTACAGCGGTATAGTCACCTTCATGAGTATAGAGGGGTGTGGTGAAAAGGGTGCGAAATCTGATGAAATACTAGGCGCGGAAGGAGAGGAATGAATGTACCCTGTTCTCAATTTAGAATTGCTCGAATGCTTACATCCTTGTAGGGAATTTATGGCGGGAAAATTACAGACACATGGGATCGTCGTTTCGTGGAAATCCTGACCCGACAAGTGATAAGCGAGACTGCTCTTCAACAGCACTCTTCGCTCACCTTGGGTTCAATTAGCCTGCCAGTGCCACCAACTAATGTGGACCCGACCGATTACAGCAAATGGTTCCGTGAGAAGACTGAGTCCGAAGACACAGATATAAGCGCTGTAAAGGCCCTGGGGCTGAATATCAGTGTAGAGCGGGAATACAATGAAGCGCGGTGAGTTAAGTTTCGAGAACGATCAGTGTTTGATTTCAGATTATTTTAATCAGTACATACTTAAACTCCCTCAGGATGAGAAAAAGGGGAATGGTCTTTACAGTTGAGCTCATTTATCAACGAAGTCATAAAAAATATCTGTATCCAAGAATAAGTGCTCATATTTTCAATTTATGAAAAAAATTAATTCAGCTGTGAATTGAGTTTTGCTGATATGTTAGCGTACCTGCAAACTTTCTTTTTAAAATACGATACGATGGTTTTCGCCACACTGACGTTCCCCTGTTGCATTAGTAATATGGGCTGCTTTCTGCGCATCGTTCCTTTAAAAGTTATTACCTTGAAATGCTTAGATTCTTTTCTTACTGAATTCACAGTGCCTCGGAATTTATTTGCAAATTAGACAAGCTGTACAGAGACATCAACAACACTACTGCGCTTTCTCTGGAATCCTTATTGGACAACAAAGTCGACATGCCTCGCTTGCGTGCTTCAATGGACATGTGTCTTGAACAGCTCCCAACGTTACTAAAAATAGAAGGCGAGGGAGCCATGCCTGTCACTCAACTTCTTCCTCGCGTGCTGTCTCAGCTGCGAGCTTTGTCAGTTTACTCAGAGTCTGGCAGTGGTATTGGGAGCGAAGAAAATTTATCAGAGTCTATGAGCTACGTATTACTAAAGGTACAATTATGTGATATTTATTGTTGCGCTATGATGATGTAAATGAGGATGGTAAATGTCAAGCATGGCGACTTTGGTGAAAGATGATGTTGTTCAATGAATGATACAGGGATAATCAAAAAAAATAACTCCAAGTGTTACCAGTAGGAGTCGAACCAGGACCTTCCAGTTTATTATTTCGGATGCCCTACCACTGAGTCAGAGGAGACTCGTGGGAGGCCAGGTCGCTTAACTAGGTTGTATTTGCGCAATGACGATGTAAATGAAGATTCTAAATGATAAGCCAGGGGAAAAGGTTTTGATGGTGGTTGCGTTTTAGGCTCACAAACAATAATTTTGGTAATGGGAACCTCCACTCACGGATTATCTGAATAGGAGTGGACCTTAAACGATGGTAACCAATACAAAGGTTACAACAGGATTTTTTCAGGCGGAACCAAAGTCGTGTTGCAAGCCCATGAACTAAAAATAAAACGGTTGCGTTGTCTGGTTACAACATATGAATATGAAAATTCGTCACTTAATATTCTCTTTTTCCTTCTCAGGAATGCCAATGGTTTAACTGCCTTCTTTATCACATTCGACACTCTTTGCAAATTCTGGAGCAGTGTGTGTTGGGAGGGTCACCAGCAATCCCAACGTACCTGGCACGCATTGTTGATGCGCTTCAACAGGATATGGTGCCTAGTGATTGGTTGCATCCGCATGCTCAGCCTTCCCCCCACAGTTTAATATCCTGGCTCAAAGGTAATGCATGCGCCTTTTCTTTCTTTTTTTCCTTTTTTTTTTCCCACAGTTCCTGCAATTCTCCACCAAGTATGCATTTTCCATTGACTCCCCCTATCCTAACACCCTTACAACAGTATGCATACTCTCCATGGGGCGTGGACTGGTTATTCAAGGTGGGCGATTGTTGAAAGTTATGGATGTGCGCTTCTGTGAGGAAATAAGGTGTACCACCTAGATGTCAATTTGATAAGACATCAGAAACTCTTGTTATCTTTTCTTAATCTGAAAGGAGTGTATCGCAGCGAAAAAGGGAAAAATACAAATCAGACTTTGGAACAAAATCTGAAGTAAACGTTAAAATAAAAAGAAATTCAGAAGTTCTTCTCAAGTAGAATCTTCAATTTTTTTCGGTAATTTTGAGAGTTTTCTCCGTAGAAGGAAGAATTTCAACTAAAATTTTTCCATCCAAACAGATTTTAATCGTCGCCACAAGCAGCTTAATGAATGGGTGCGACGTGGCGTTGTTCCAAATCCAAACTCGGAGCCTTTGGTTGGGCGTGGTCAGCTGACCTCCGTCTGGCTTGGTGGCCTGGCCAATCCGGCAGCACTGGTAACATCATTAAAACACGAGAAGGCTGCGATGGTTGGATGTAGAGTGGACGAGGTAAAGTTGTACCTTTTTTTTTTTTCTAAGCGATCGAGAGTATCATTCAGTTAAACATTGTTACGATGGGAGTAATTCGCGTTGGGATAGTCACAAGAAAAAGTTCTACCATAATCACCATAGAAATGTTTTACGAAAGCTGTATGGAAGTGTAATGGATGAATCCTTCGCCGATGTCCCTGGCTTGTCCTGATTATTATTTTCAAAGCTTGACAGGAAGTGAGGAGAAAAGGAGTTGAGGGTGGGAAGGGAGGGGAGGGAGGGGGAGAGTGGAGGAGAGAGAGTTACATATTGCGCCACCGATCACAAATGAAACGGAAGGGGCATTCCTAAATTTTAGTCTGAGGTGATCCAGAACCACTTGGTGTTTAGTACTTGCGTTGTATTTTTATCGTTGACAACAGATCACAGTTATGTGCTATTATAAATGTATTGATAATAATGGAAACCACATATAGATTTCAATATATTTCCCATATCATACGGAATCTGATTCTGTTGTTGTTTTTTCTTATGGATGATTGTAAAGATAATATCTCTGTGTTTGTATTCATATTTACCACAAATTTTGGTGAATCTTTCAAAGGTGGAACTTCGTTGTTCTTTGGCAAAGTCCTACTTGTCGCGTGACGACAGAAAAGATGAGACCGAGCAAGGCCTGGTCATTAGTGGGCTGTATATTGAGGGTGCGTCTCTGGACCTCGATAGAGAATGCCTCGTAGAACCGACGTAAGTTTTGTTAGTTTTAGTGTTACCATCCGGCTCCTTGGAAAATAGACAGTTTTTTCTTCAGAGTCGATACTGCCTTTGTTATGAAAGAAGACAAACGTTTTATTCGCGAAAATTGATGTCACAAGTTAACTATCCAATCAATTAAAAGGTTTGTTTAACGACCGATTACTGCTGTTTTCCTCTTTGCTATCAGGTCAGCAATATCACAACTACCAGACCTCTTTGTTTCTACTGTCATTCGTGAGGATGAGGAAGAGCCTCTATCCGATGAGAGGAACGAGGCAGAAAAAACGGAAATCTACCACTGCCCAGTGTTTATGAATAGGGTAAGTGTTTGCTTAATTCTTGTTCAAAACTTCAGCTTTAAATATCAAGAGCGCATTTTGTGCGCGTGATATGTTTGTGCTGAAAAGGGAAGCCTTGAAGACTACTGTTGTTAGTTGCAATAGCTGATGTTTCGACTGCAGGGTGCCCACAAAATTTCTGTGGGTCCCCAGTGGTTTCTATGACTTGTGCGTAAGTCATTCTCAGAGTTAAGCAAAGAGTTTTTGATCCGTCGTGATGGGATTAGTCAGCGTCGGTAAAGTTAGGTCGTTCTGTTTAGTTTGATGTTATGTTAGGGTCTTGAATGAGTCCGGTCCAAGCCATGTGCGCTATTCTATATGATCACATAAGCGCATTGTAGTTTCCTTGTATTTTCGGGCTTTATATTTTGCGGTCGAATATCTTGGTTGTAACTTTCATTGTATCTAAACCATACCTAATCAACATATCTCTTTTCTCTTGTCCCCAAGGCTCGGCAGTGCTGTTCAGTGACTTTACCCATCAAATGTTCCCACACCGCGGAACATTGGATCCTAGCTGGAGTCGCCATCGTGTTAGATCCAGGCAACTCAACAAGCTCTTGGAAACTGGTGCCGAGCAATTCTAAGCCTGAGTGACTTCCAGAATACTTAAGCGTTGACTTAGTGTTACCTAACGCTTTTCTGTAAAGATTGTAAAGATTGTTTCAGTCTTCAAGAAGACAGTACAAATTATGCGCCTTTTTCACCGTTAACTTGTAAGTAATCAAAGAACCTCTTACGTAAAAACAAGAGTTTATGAAAATTTTCCAATGTAAATATCCTTTATAGATATGAGCATGCGTGTTCTTTCAACCTGTCCCGTCCCATTGTCGCCAATTCTCAAGTATTTGATTCGCGTATTGCTATGTGAACTGTAAGTTGCTGCAACATACTTTAGAAGTGTCAACAACAATTTCTCGAAACATTATGCTTCAACTTGCCATACGCAGAATGATACGGTGCGAGAAATATTTGAACTGACCCAATGTCGCAGAGAAAGTTGATTGAAAGATATGTCTTTAGACACTCCCTTCATTATTTATTCACTTTGTGTTACTCAATTTTGTAACGCTAAGCCATCGGGAATCGTCGTAACAAGCTCAAGCGATACTTGAGCACTTTGTTACAGTTTACTGGAAAACTTGTTCGGAAAATGCTTTTTTTGTACTTTCTGAATCTACACCGAAAAATTATGCGTACATTTATTTGAGTTTTTCTTGCGTACTTGGCTTTGTGATAAAGTTTAGCGAACTTCCCTAATTATACATTATTGTATAGTAACACATTGTCATAACATGGACATACAGTTATTTTTCTAAATAAAGAGGTTTGCATTCTATACAAGTGTTCGTTTTTTTGATTAAAATTTCCCATGGTGTGGCAGAAGATTGAGAACGTGTCTTTTCCAAAACCATCATCCACCTGCTTGTATACATTGGCGCAATAATCAGATATTGCTGTTTTTGATCAGTTCATTCCTTTCGTATTTCCAAATGAGCAAGAAACCAAGAAGGACAACTTTTTCTCGTGATCATCTACGTTGGCACCGCAGGTAAACGAATATTTCTTTCACCATCAGAGCTATGAATACCACAACAAACAATACAAAACTCATCTTCTGATAAATGGATTCTTGTACTGGTAGATCACGTGGTGATTACCCGGCCGTAAAACAATGCTCAACAGACTCGGTGTCACGTGATGCAACAGATCCTCGTGCCAATCAGGTGCACCATCTATGACTTCCGCCGAATAACGGACGGCGCATTTCCAGTAAGGATGATACGTCACTTTAAGAAGAAGGTGCTCGGTCTTATGGAAAGTCTGAAAAAAAGCAAAATGACAAGGAAACTTGAGGATACATGAGTTAATGCCGTCTTATTTCGACGTACCCACATGAGGGGAATTTTGTGTTCATTTCAATTAAATTAAATCATGTTTTTACCTGAAATGATGAATCAAGTGCCTTGGGCGAAACCACGACTTAATACCGTACACACCCTATTTAATCTTTTTGCCGATAGGAGGGGCAATTATTCTAAGGGGCGGTAGATTTAAAAGTTTACTGGACGATTCATGGTATGACCGATATTTAATCGGGCAAACGTACCTTGCTCCATGCTCGCCCATCTACGTGGACGTAAGCTCTGAAGGAGGTTCCTCCTGCTTCCTCTTGCAGAACTCGTGACTTCACACCTTCAGGATTCCAGGAAAACTTTCTCGTTTACCTTCCCCTTGTTGTCAAACCCTTGATCTTGAACCTCGTCTCCGCGATAGCGAGAAATTCGAGGAAGTTTCAATCTGCAGCTTTGTCAAAAACAGTAATTTCGAAAGGTGGTTCGTTGAGTGCGCTGAGAGGATTCACAGCAAACACAGCTCTGTTTGTGAACCAGCTCTCCCTGCTGATGAAAAATTCTTGCCGGGTTTGATTTTTTATTTGTAGCTTTCGACATTTCTTTTGTAGTCGCGCTCCGGGAGGTCGCGGTAGAGCTAGAAGTTGCATCCCACGAAGCTCTGAAGGATTTACAGTTAGATACATATCAGTTATGCAGGAAGTTTCTAGTCCAAGGTCATGACATTTCAACAACAGTGAACACTTCTAAATTGCCGACAGTACATGTGTTGGGATTCAGTTCCAATTTACATCCCACTTTCCCATTCCTTCTATTCTTCCACTGAGAGTGAAGCTTGCAAACCCAAATGACTGCGACAAACTATATGTGTGAGTGGTAAAAACATGGGCCCTGCATAGTGTGCAAGATCTTTTTATTACTCTGTGACAAGGGCCTGAGATGTTGGGCTCAGAATTAAGATACTGGACATAATCATTGCTTTATGTTTTTCTTCAGACTTACTTGTGTGAATGATTTGCCCTTTGAATAATCTCAATCAACATAAAGTTTTCTCAGGGATGGAGAATGTGCACACGCCTTAATCCTGTTTTTCTTTCCCTCGCTTTCAGATGAAGCAGGGTGGCGGTATGACAGGGACATTGGTGATCCTAAGGTGTGGTCTTATTACGCACATATTTAAACCTTCATTGTAAATTACCTTTTCTCGTTCACCACTTCTAAATTTCATATCATTTTGGTATTGATTTTTTCGAAATTCCTGTTCCCAGCCCTGTGTAGGATGCATATCCATCTGGAATCTAATAGGTAAATGTTGGCTACATCGAGGCTAAAGTTCTCTTTAGTTCAGGTGGATAACATCCAACCACTCTCACAGAGGTTCTTTGGCTTGACTCCTTATCCTGAGTAGTAGTATTTTCTCTTAAGAAAATGTATATCACTAACTTAGCAATTTAGCCAATACACCACTTCCCCGCGTCCTTAACATTAAATCGTAAGACCGACGCTCTTCACTTTTCTGTGTAAATCTTTCCCTCAGTCCCTTACGATTACAAGTTGCTCGCAAATATATCACAACAATTAATCAACCTAATCTCTTTGCTGAAGGAAACTTCGATCGAGTGTCGAAGCTAATAACTACGTAGTTGCCCCAGAAACCTTCTACCATCCTCTGAATCAATCCGATGCAAATCTTGACCAATCGAGACTTTACAACTCGTGTCTTCTTGTGCTTCAAGGAATGCACTGTTTTTTTTCTCTGAGCTTTGATATGCGCTTTGCGATGTTTAGCTTTACTGTGATTGGCTATTGAGTTGTGTTTACTCAGATATAGAATTTTAAAAACGCTCTAATCGCAAGCAGAGGAAGCGACAGACTATGGCTGCAGGAAGGTTCGCTCGTTAGGGAGATTCGCTTACTAATATCTTACTGGCACTCAAGAGCATCCCAGGTGGTTTTTTGGTTATGGATTATAAATTTTGCTACCCAAACGCGAGTATCAAACTCGTCTTCTCGGATAGGACGTAAAACCGTAGGCCCCGTCTCCTGCAGGGTTGGGGTAGGAGACGTTAATTCCCACGCACGAGATTACTGTGTGGTGGATGTCCTCCCCTGGGGTGGGATGGGTGGAAGAGACACTAATTGTAAAGCGCCTTTGATCATATAAATGTTAATTGTTATAAATGAATTGTAAAGCGCTATTGAATATAGCAATAGAAATAGCGCTATATAAATACTGTATTATTGTATCACATGCATCTTACGAGACTCCCTTGTAGCACAACGAAGCGTTTCATTTCTTATTATTGAAGACGAAGATGCATATTTCTATATTTTGCAATATTCATTTATTCCAATATTTTCTACATTACGTATAGCCTCCCAGAATCTCTCTTCGTCACGTCGTCCGAGAGGAAGAGAAAGAAAGACGGAGAGATGACGGGTCTTAGTATAGATCAATGTGTTTAGAGTCCTATTCCTCGTTTAATTAATGAAAATTAGAATGATGAAATCTGTTTAAAACACCTCATTCTACGAAACTTATTTAAAATTGAAATACTTAATCTGAAAAAGATCACAGAAAACTAAAGCTATTCACTCGAAAAATCTAAAAAATAGATTTACAATACTTAATTTTCTCTGCTTTTGGTCCCCTCTCCTCCTTCTGAAGGCAAAGAAGAAAATCGAACTCGATACAACACCATTCTTTTTAACAACTGTACGCCGAAACTGGCTAGGTCCCCCCATTTCAGTTTAAAATACCATTCTGTTGATCAAACTGTTGAGCGTTGACGTAAAAGCGAGCGGGTCAGTATAAACAAAGTAGCCTACACATAGTCGTGGAAGCAATTACTACTTTGCCAAACCTCGCAATGGTCAAGGGAACTAACAATTACCTTATATCCTACAATAATAACTCATTACTTAGCGAAAAGGTTATGACAGGCGACGTAATAATAGCCAAATTGATTTCAGCTAATTAAGGACACACGGATCCTTTATTAAGGAGCTAGAGCTAGTCGATTTTTCCTTTCTAATATCCACTGTGTGTCGAGTCTAATTCAGGGATCAATCTTCAGACAGATTGAAATAGAGGAAAATTGCTAATCTGAATGACGGGTAATGAGTGCTAGTCACAACTTGGCGGATGCAAAGAGTTTCTCCTTGGTACCTTCTAATAAGAATGACCTCTATAACATACATTTTACCAAGTAGTCATAGCCGAGGATGGGTAATTCCATTTAAATAACCTTAACATATGCAAGCCTACGAGTGTTCAAAAAAGCTCTCTGTAAACAGTTAAAGTGTAATTAAATTTGTATAGAATAGTTGCCTTTAAAAAAATGTTATTTTTAAATTAATTTTTGTAACAACTGAATTCAACTGTAAAAGTAAGAGCAAAATATGACTGCAATTCTCTGAATTTCTTACTTTTCGTATTTTCGAGTAATTTTCACAAGTAACTCTTTACATTCTGTCGCTGTTGGTCTCTGGTCTGGATCAGGATTGCAGCAAGATATCATAAGATTGGTCCACTCTGCTGGAGGAGCGAAGCTGCCGTCTCCTACGGGGCCTCTAGATAGATAACTTTTGACCTCTGTCGGCGGAGGGATTTCTTCATCGTTCTCAATAAGGTCGGCAAATATTTCTTTACCGTACCACATTTCCCACATCATGATGCCAAAGCTGTACATGTCCACTTTTGAGCCGTACGGGATGCGTTTTCTTACTTCCGGCGCCATGTAAAACAAGGTCCCGCATTGGGTACCCGTGATCGAGCTTTCAGACTTCGCCCAACCAAAGTCTGCAATTTTGATGACTTTGTCTTTTGAGATCTGCAAACGAGGAAAGACAGCATCTCAAATTTGCAAGAAGAAACATTTAATTTGCAAATACAGTCGAACCTACCGTAAGCGCACACCCGTAATGTCTAGTCTGGGTGGTCGCTTCCAGGAGGTGGTCACTTACCCAAGGTCAGGCCACAGGAGGGTCTATGTTTTTAAGTAATCAATTTGCACATAGTGACCGGACCCTTTTGCCAGCGCTTATCAAAACCTACGTGTCAACATATAGTAGTAACTTTTAGTGGTTCATTCTGGGTAAAAATCCTAGTATCTGTATATGTGGTGATTGTTTTGTATCTCACAAATGGCTTCAAAACATTGTATACTCAATGCAGAAAGGCCAAAGTTCACTTCAACTTGTTGCAAAGCGCCACGGGCAAATTGATACAGCACTTTACAAATCCTCCATTACTATTATTATTATTATTATTATTGTTATTATTATTATTAGAAAACAATTGAAACTTGTAAACAAGCATCTCTAGAAGTACTCGCTTCCTAGAGGTGGTCGCTGTCGAGAGATTCTATTTATGGTGATTTGACTTGGAAAATTTTGGTATTTTAAAAAGTGGTCGCCAACGAAAGGTGGTCGCTTACGAGAAATGGTCGCAAAGGGAGGTTCGACC